TTCGTCGCAAGACGCCATGGCTGGGCTGACTTGGTGACGATGGGGAAGCCGTACTTGAGAACAACGGGCTTGGAGAGGGCCGAGAGGGCAGAGGAGAATGCTTCGCTGGCATAAATGTCTGCGTCGGATGCGTTGCGGAGGATTAGCGTTTGCAGGATGGACATGCTGACTTTTGACATGGCCACGTATGTTCTCCTCTGCGTTGCGCTCTGTGCCTTGAGTGCTTCGTCGCTGAAGGCGAGGCGGACAAACTCTGCCACCTGGGAGATCATGGCTGAGGGCACGCCAGCGAGATCTGTTCGCACCATCTTGATGGCTTCCATGACCTGGTTCTGCAGCGGCGTGACGTACTCAATGTCATTCACGTAGGCTCCTACCGTGGCTTGTTGCAGGGCTTCTCGGAAGAGCGTCAACATCTGGCGGACCCGGTCCACTGTGAGATCTGACTGGACCAGTTGGTACACATCGTGGAAAGCCGCAACGTATGCGATGAGGCAATTTTGGTTGTCTGCCTTCTTGCCATCCTCTTCGTCTAGGGAGACGGGCGTCCCGCGAGACCACAGCTCCCATGCCGCATTGACAGTATTTGTGTCAAAGATGGGTCTGCCGGGGTCGTAATCGAGCTTGATGACCTTGCCGAGTGCCTTGTACGTGGCCGTGTTGATTGTGAGCACCTTGAAGTCGAGTAGGGTGGCAAAGTGACCAAGCAGCTCTTGCCACAGAGCATTAAATGAAGAATGCGTAGACAGGGGCTCCATGTAGGTCGTGAGGAGCTCCGAAATACCGGTCAATACAACGGATGCTGTCTCGTGCCATTCTTTGCGGTCTTGCAGGGTGGTACTGTCGGTTGCCGCAGCCTGGAGCTCTTCCTCTATTGACGAAAGAAGCTTGAAAACCACAGACTTGACGCAGGTGGACCAGGCCTCTGAGCTCAATTTGTCGCCGTACGCGTCAAAGATTCTCAACAAGGTCTGGATTGCGCTATTACGGAGCTCCAGACGTCCATCAGCTGTGACTGTTGTGAGTCTCAGAAGCAACAGCATCCAGAGAGCGGCGTCTGAGGCGATGTGCTCCGAGTTTGCGGCCAAGGCTGCCAGGTCGGAGATACTTGAACCCTGCATCAGATCGGCATTGACGGGGAGGGTCTCAGTCTTGCCAGAAAGGAAATCTGACAGGACCCAGAAGAAAGTAACAGTCTATAAAGTATTAGCTTGGTCCTAAGGCCTTGACCCTTCGTAACATACCGTTAACGCAATGTTGAGGTCATCGTCTTGTGAGCAAAATTTGTAAAGGGTATCGACAAGTATGAGAAAGCAAGAATTCGGCAAGGACGCTAGGAAGTCGGAGCAGATCAGTTGAAGAGAATTGAAAGAAGACCGAACAAGCTTCGCTGACCGGGTCATGAGAACGTTCGTCTGGGAGCCCCGACGTTCTCCGGGGGCGAACTTTTTGTTGATGAAGATAGAGCCGATTATCTCAAAAGCGATCTCCCATCCGCTAACGAGTGTCTCGCCGCAGTTTTCAAGCAAGTTCTTCAGTCCTTCAAGGACGACCTTATGAATTTCGACGTCAGTGCTATGACTGGCGACGGTGACCTCCCTATCTTCTTGCTGCAGGGGAAGGAGTGCATCGCGGAGAGCCTCTAGGAGAAGCAACTGAACGTGACCGCATTGCTCGCGCTCCATTGTGGCCGCAATGTTGGCTGCATCAAGAGCCAGCCTGACCAGGATCTCCGCCGCTCGAAGCCTTACAGAAGCGTTCATTGAGGAAGCGTTGATGATATGGATCAGCTCGGAAGTCAAGGGCGTCCATCCGGATATGTCTGGCGAGTACGAAAGCAATCGATCGATGTTGATCGTGGCAATATCACCCAGCTTGGCCAGGGCAAAGTGGTCTTCTTGATTCGGTCCCGCGGCGGCTGCAGTAGAGACACTGAGAACCCGACGGTGTTGACCTGCTTGCGTCGGCTTCATGCCTCCTGATGTGGGCGATTTTGGTTGCGCCGCAGTCTCTGTCTTCTGCTTGTCGTCTTTTGCTCTTTCCAAGAGATTGCATACTGCCTCAACAACTTGCGCAAAGGCGTCATTGGGAAAGTCGATCGTGCTCTCGATCAGACGAGATGCTGCCGTCTCGACGGCGCGGACTTCGCTGCTGAAGTTCAAGAGCAACGCATTTGCTTCGTTCTCGGCATGTTGATCCGTTCCCTTGGTTGCAAGCGGCGTTCGGCCAGGAGTCTTACTCGTGGAGAATAGCACGAAATCAGCTTGCTGTAAGGTTTCCAGTATGATACGCCATGAGGAACCGAGAGTAGGGCCAAGAGCAATGCCAAGGTTGAGGAGCGCTCGCAGACATAGAAGATTACGGGTGTTGAGCGTCATCTGGCTCCCCTCAAGTCCTTGCTGCCGACCTCTGTCAGCCACGGGCGACGCTTGAGTGACAAGACTATCGACACTAAGTAACCCTCTTGCGTTGCTCAAAATGCTGTTGGGTGCTTCTGTGGTTGGTGTGGGTGTTGCCGGTCGGGCTGGCCCGGCATTCAGGCACGCCGTGAACACATTCGGCGGTACTGCCGCCTTGCCCAACGTCGTCAAGAATGCGTCTCTCGGGGTAGACAGCTGGAGCAAGCCGGCAACATGCGCGAACTTTTGGAACGCCCTTACTAAGCTGTGGTAGTACTCAGAGTCCATAGCAGCATAGAGGAATGTAGAGCAGGTAGCAAGGATGGCAGGCCAGCACTCCTCGATGATGGCGGCACAAATCTTGACTTCTTTGTGCATGGGATGATCCTCCAGTGCGAGGGGGTTTAGCGGAACAGGATTCTTTTTGAACGATGCAGCTCGCTCCAACGCAGCCCGTGACCCGTCTGCATCCTCTTGGGCAGGCGCTGGAGAGTCACGACCAACTTCCTGCTTCCCGCTCTTTTTGCGATTGCGGCTGTCTCCAGGAACGGTGAGGGGAAGGATAAATTTGGCAAGACCTTCGGAGAGCGATCCTATGCAAGACAAAGTCAAGCTGTAGATGTAAGAATCCGGAACAGATGGTGCCTCGGTCTTGTCGAGCTGGTCAATGCAAGGGACCCGGACGCTACTCCACTGCGTGCTAATGCCCACGTTGGAGCCGTCTGCGCTGGCGGAGCCGCTGATGATACCCGTGACACCACTGGCCTCGAGCATGGCTTGGTCGGTTGACGACGCGATGCTAGCGTAAGGGTTCATGACCGGAATTGTCGATTGATGTCCAAGACCAATCACGGAAGGCTTCTCGGTGCTAAGCCGCACAAAGGTCGCGGTCACATGTTTGAGAACATCCTTCTCGCCCTCTTTGGCGTCGTAGTTGACGAAGATTCGTCGGATCAGGGCATGCTCTGAGAAGATGCCTCGGAAGACCTCGAGACACAGTGCTCTTTTCCATGTTGCCGTGTCCTGATCCAGTAGATGCGTCAGGATATCGAGTGCATCTCCGCTTTCGGTTGGGAGGATGTTGATATGGCGTCTTAGGAGAGTGTACAGAATCCGAACCAGCCTGACGGACGTCGCAAAGTTGGGCTTTCCTTTCAGTGCGCTAGTGATGAAGGGCATGACCCGAATCTGTAGGATGTGCGCTTGCTCTTTGTGGGTCGAGAAGACGGCGGCATGGTTAGTCAGAACAGACTCTATCAGTTCCAACCCGAATGTTTGCGGCAGTCCAGAGAATCTTAGGTACTCGGGACGCTGGTTCTCGGTCATGAGGCATAGGTCGTTGAATATCTAAGCAGGTGTAAGTGGCGGGTACTATCTAGCATGAACGTACGACATACCCTGTACGCATCCAGTGCCGCTGCACGCAGCTCAACCGTGCCATCACCGGATGGCGCTTCGCCAGCAGGAGGGCCGTTTGGTGTAGTTTCTATCCATGATTAGCAAAGAACTTTGATGTGGAAACATGAGAGACTAACTGTCCTCTGCCACCACCTTGTCAAACACAGATACGACCAGCTGTTGTAAGGTTGCTGCTGAGGTGTTGTTGACAATGGCATTCTTGCTGGACTGGAGGATAAAGCAAATGTTCAAAGCGGTGATGAGAAGGTCGCCTTTAAGATCAGTGGCATAGTTCTGCAACAATGATGGCAACGCCTGAAGGATCTTGAGTTGAACATCGAGGCCAGCAGAGGTTGCCTCTCTCAGAGCTTCAAGGACCTGGTTCAGCTTCCCCCTCGGAAGAGCACGGGCGACGATGAGCCTCTGAAGGCATACGATGGCGATTCCAGTAAACTTTGCATTCTTGGTGCCACATGCGATGATGAAGGGGTTCACAAAGTTGGGCTTCTGGGCAAGCTCTGTGCCGAAAAGTCAGTGATGGGTCCATAGCTTAGAAAGATCGACAGGGGGGGGGGATACACACCGTTGGCAGCTTGAGCTTCATTAGCTCCTCTAAGCCCTTTGAGCTCCTCGAGAGACTTTTCAGCAGCCTTGTCCAAATTATGTTAGCATTAGGTCTTGATTGAGTTGAAGATTAGTTTGCGCACCTGTCGGAGGTCGTTGTGTTTCCGTTTGCTCTCCTGAATGAGGTTCGTTAGCTCCGTGGCCAGGAGCTGGGTCGTCATTCTGTCACAGGTGGCCTCTCGGGCAGTCCATTATCGATCTACGACAGACCTCAGTGAAACGAAGAAACAAGCGCAAAGAAAGACGGACTTCAAGGCTATGTCTTGTCGAGAATTGTCGAGTTGATAGGGATGAACAAGGCAAGGTAGGGAGCTTCCGTCTGGACAGCTACGTCTGCTCCTCTGCGCTTGGCAGCTCATCCACAGCTCCCGATTGAGGTGAGCTGTCCACCTTGAATGATGACTAAGGCATCTCGCATAAAGGTATCCACACCGCTCAGGTGGCAGAAATGCCCAAAGTGGTTCACCGCCCTGTGATGCCCCGCGCTGGCCCCTGCGCATTGGGCAGTCTGGGGCCTCTGGGCCGACCGTGACAGCGCCTTCAGGCGCAAGCCAGCTGAATTACACCGGTGGCCCCTTCTATAAGGAGATGTCCCACCCTCCTAACCCACCAAGGGGCCTTACCTAAGATCCGGGCTGCATTGCACTCACCTTCCTCCCACTTCGCAACCCCTCCAACTCTGAACATCTACGCTGCGGTATCTTTCCGTCGCCCTTTGACAAACACACCAACCCCAAGCCTCTCGATACCCACACACAACTCATCATGGGCGCAAAGGTTCCACGCAACTTCAGGCTCCTTGAGGAGCTTGAGAAGGGCGAGAAGGGTCTCGGAGCAGGTACTTGAGCCCCTCTAATGCAACACCAAGCAAGCTGCCCCGCGCATCTCGCATCTCTGACTGACTCTTTCTGGTGCAGAGGCTTGCTCCTACGGTCTGAATGATGCCGAGGACCTCTTGATGTCCGACTGGAACGGAACCATTCTCGGACCCCCTCACGTAAGTATTTCCTTTGTTTCTACTGGCCAACATTGAGGTGTTGCGCATCACTGACCGGTCCTTTGCAGAGCGTTCACGAGAACAGAATCTACTCCCTCAAAATGCACTGCGGTCCCAACTACCCCGACGAGCCTCCCACGATACAATTTGTGAGCCAGGTCAACCTGCCCTGCGTCAATTCTCGCAACGGCGTTGTCGATCACAGACAGCTTCCCTGCTTGGCCAACTGGAAGAGAGATAACACCATGGAGACCATCCTCATTGAGCTTAGAAGGTATGCCGGGGAAGATGCATTTCGGTGCAGACTGAATGACTGTAAGCCCTCTTAAGGCAAGGCTAACCTTCGTTTCTTCAGATACATGGCGGCTCCTGCGAACAAGAAGATCGCTCAGCCTCCCGAAGGTTCTACATACCCGTAGTGGCCTATGTTCATGATTCCCAACGATGCGCGAAAGAGGGTTTGGCTGGGTAGGTCGGGCTGATTATCGGTACACATGGCATGGGTAGTATGGCTCAATGATTACGACTTTTCTTCACACCCAAAGTTCTCTCCCCCCGTTCTGATGTGCTTATGAAAGGACTTTTGAAGGAGGACAATGTATCCTGCTTTGAGAGTGTGGACAGAGTGAGACGGAACAGGACACCGCCAAAAGCATACACCTCTACGGGTGTGAGATTCAGATCTAAGGTAGGTACCACATTCTGGGCTATATTTGCTGGTTCCACGCTGGACTTTTATCCTCTCAAACCCTCGCAGTCGTCCAGTTGGCGATGTCACTAGTTGTCGTAAGTGTGTGGGAATCATGTTAAAGTGAGGTAGGTGATAATGGATCCTATGATTGATTGTTGTGGTGACTGTCATGATGCTGAATATTTTGAGACCCGGGTTTCATGACTAGCCAACATCAATACGGTTACGGTCCAATGCAAAATCAGAGGTATCCGGGCTTCAAATCCGTTGCGAACAGATGTGCCGTCTGGTCTCCAGGCTGACAATGCAAGGCCTCGTGTCTGGGATGTCCTGGATGCCCATGGCACCACGGAACGGGAGCATCAGAGCCGGTGGGCCTCGGCCGATGCCGTCGGCTAATCATCGGTAGGCAGCTACAGCCTCCGTCATCCATGGGATTTTTTTGCCCCGGTCATCAAACGACGGGGGATCCACCGATCTTCTTTGACCTTAGCTGATGACCTGAGTGAGAGCTGTTCTGGAGCTCGCAACATCCATCTGATCCACGCATCTCAATCTATGTCAATGCAGCAGACATGGCTTCGGCGGTAACCAAGGCCGCACTCTCCGCGCCGTTGCGACGGGCTCTCGTCCAGTCGCAGTCGCGCGGCTTCCAGACCAGCACAAAGAGCCTGCTTCCATCAGCATTCGGCTCCAGCTCCAGCATCCCGCCGTCCTACTTCCAGAGGTCGTCGCTCCCCGCCAACACCGTCATCCGCTTCGTTCCGCAACAAACAGCATGGATCGTTGAGCGCATGGGAAAGTTCAACCGCATCCTCGAACCCGGTCTGGCTATCCTCGTCCCCTTCATCGACCGCATCTCCTATGTCAAGTCACTCAAGGAAAACGCCCTCGAGATCCCCAGTCAGAGCGCCATCACCGCCGACAACGTCACCCTCGAACTTGATGGTGTCCTCTACACCCGCGTCTTTGACGCCTACAAGGCTAGGTTTGTTGGCATGCCCTCCACGATCCCATGGTAGCATACTGACCCTCTTTCCCCCAGCTACGGAGTCGAAGATGCCGAATACGCCATCTCCCAGTTGGCGCAAACCACGATGCGATCCGAAATCGGCCAGCTGACCCTCGACCACGTCCTCAAGGAGCGTGCAGCCCTCAACACAAACATCACCGCCGCCATCAACGAGGCCGCCCAGGCCTGGGGCGTCACCTGTCTCCGTTACGAGATCCGCGACATCCACGCCCCCGCCGGCGTCGTCGAAGCCATGCACCGCCAGGTCACCGCCGAGCGCTCGAAGCGCGCAGAGATCCTCGACTCCGAGGGTCAGAGGCAGTCGGCCATCAACATCGCCGAGGGTAAGAAGCAGAGCGTTATTCTGGCGTCCGAGGCCATGCGCGCCGAGCAGATCAACAGGGCGTCTGGTGAGGCCGAGGCCATCCTTATGAAGGCCAAGGCTACCGCCGCCGGTATCGAGGCTGTCTCCAAGAGCATTGCCGACGGCGAGGATGCTGCACAAGGCGCCATCAGCTTGTCGGTTGCCGAGAAGTACGTTGACGCTTTTGGCAAGCTGGCCAAGGAGAGCACGGCTGTCGTCGTTCCCGGTAACGTGGGAGACATCTCCAGCATGATTGCCACTGGCCTGAGCGTCTACGGCAAGGTTGGCCAGGCGCAAGCCAGGACGATGGCGAAGCAGCTCGTCAACAACGAGGAGTCCGACGAGGGAGCGTCTGGAGAGCCCAAGCAGCTGAAGGATTCGGTGCTTGAGAGCTTTGATCAGGCGGCAGGACAGAAATGATTACCTTACAGAGTACGGAGCCGGCGTTGATGGACATACATGCAAGATAGGAGAATCGCCGGGTGTCACATTTTATGTACTAGTACTACCCACTCAACCAAAAAGACGGGCGAGGAAAATGCCCATGCATACCATAGGTTTAAATTGACTTGATCAAAATCATCGTTTGCATACTGTCTTGTTTGATGTTGAAGTCCCGTTCAAGCTTAGGGTCCGTGGACTGACGCGCTGCCTTGTTAATTTCCAGGTCTCACCGCTACCGTATATTCCACCCTCTGAATACGCAGGAAGCCTTCATATACCCCTCTAAGTCCACTCTTGTTACCAGCATAGCAGGCGCCTTCCTAGGTCGGTTGGTCAGGTCAAACTGGCTGGGTGATGGAGTGGTTTAAGGTCAACAATTAATATCTCCGCCCATAGCCTACTCGACGACAGGCTTCGAGTTCGAATCCTAACATAAGCACCAAGAGATGTAGCCTCACCGGCGGTGAACTCTTTTTTCTTTTCTCAATTTTGTAAAGGAAAGGAATACAGAAGGCTAGGCATATTCAGACCGTCCTAGACTTATTTCTAATTGGGAACTCGGGTGTGGCTGGAAAACTTGCGGCCTAGGAAGATGAGAGTAAATACCTTATATTTCTTCCTCATTCCATGGTCCATCGAGATGAATGGATTGCTTGAGAAGAGGTTCATTACTGTCATCAGAGCTCTCACCTACGCTGTACCGTGTCATTGCTCGGTGCTCACAACATCGTGAGAAGAATGGTTTTATGACCCTGGCAAATGAAAGAAGCCGGGGTTTAGTAAAGCATGAGTTATCTGAACTTGCGTCACCGTGTTCCGCCATAGGGACGTTAACGAAATGCTTTTATGAATAGCTCACATGAGGTCAGTTCCCCTTGAATTAAGACCGACAACGTCTTGAACATGCTTTGCGTAGTAATCCGATTGTAATACACAACTTTATTCCATTGCTAGCGGGCAGTACCAACTTATCGAGCAAAACTTTGCAGCGGATTGATGGTTCTGAGCTCATGCCAGGAGGCAGAAGAAAGCTGACTAGGAACGTGAACTGGCTTGTAGGATGACAAAGCATAGTGCAATGATGCGGTTGAGCAGTTATCAATGTCCATCTTGATAGTGGAACAGGGTTGCGGGCCTGAAGGCATCATATCACAAGAGCGTACTTTAGAGATCTCCAAGTATATACCTTATTCACAACATGAATGGTATATAAATGTCAGTGTAGCTTGACACTTCAGGAGCATGAAGCTGCTCATGACAATATCCAGGCAGCTATTACTGTGCTAATAGGAAGGTTCCAACTTGGCCTTGTCAAATTCGAACATAAACCTACATGGGCCCTCGAATTCGCGTCACTTTCCTCTGAGGTGGTCTTAACTTTCTCAAGCAAGTGCATTGGATGAACACACGCCAGTACGTACGAAACGGAGCTGCCACTTAGGTATCTCACGCACACCACAATCTCAAAGCTATGGCATAAGCACGCTTATGGTCCTACTGACAGCCTAACGACTGAACCAATCAGTACATATGTGTCATCCATGAACACCTTCATGAGAGGGGGGAAATGATGGACACATCCGTTCGCGAGCGCACATGTCTGACGGATTGGATTGATGCTTGGGGCACTCTGCGGAAGTGCTTAGATTTTTGAAAAGTCTTTGATTAAGCTCACGATAAAGCTGTCGAAGGGTTTCTTTTGCTGATATACAACCGTACTTTTACTGTAAGAGCTAGAGTAACTCGATATCATCAAGGCTAGAAAGCCAACCTCATTTACTTCAACATAAGGTAAAGAGAAACTGTCACAGGTCCACTTTGATCGGTGACGTAGGAACTCAAGACTTACATAGGATGTAAGAAGACTGAAGAATGAGGCGAAAGGACAGCAGCACGTGCAGCAGACCAAGTTGTTGGATACAGACATGCATGTCCCTTCTGACACGATACCTGCCAACAAGATGCACGAGCATGACCTTGCGTGGTAGAGAATGCAAACCGCATACCCAACCTACTTAGCCGGATAAACACCGACCCTCCAGATCAAAAGAAGAAAGGAAGGGGAACAAGAAGAAACATCCTTAACATCGGCAGTCGAAAATGGCCCCTCGCACGGCCAGCTCTACCCCGCGAAGACTTTATTTTTTTTTCATCACGATGTTCTCTACCCCGCCAACTGGAACACCGGCGGCGGGTCCCTCTCCAGCACGACGCTCAGAGTTTTTGCAAGCGCGATCTCGCAAGATGCAGGCGAGTGGGCAAGAAAGGCCGGGCGGTCATGCGGGCCTTGCCTCTCGACTCGCCTTTTTGGCTCTGGGCTTTCCTCGAGGTTGAGTGAAAGCCCGGGGGCGAAGGTGAATGGCGAGGGGGGTCATGTCGGAAAGCGGGCGACGTCGTATCAGCATCGGCGAGATCTCCCGCGGCCGAATTCACGAGCGTGGTCTTGTGGCAGGGGAGCCGAAGGAGGCGATGGATCATAGCCTATCTTTCAACGGATACACACAGGCGGGCTGTAGCCTTTGGCAAGGTCGGCTTCTGCACCTCGCTGACCTCACCAAGCTGACTGGAGTTGACCGAACACCCGTGATGCAGTTTGCCTGCCGCCTTCGTGCGGCACAGCACCGTAGGCTGGCGCCCTTCTTCTCAGCTGTTAGCCTGTTTCGAGATGTCAGCTCTGCATGATGGGACTGTGAGGTTTGGCGGGCGCGGCCCGCTCAACTTTGGGGGATTTGCCGTGTTAGGGCTTGCGAAACTTCGACAACGCGGCCGAAGCAACCGGGGACGGGCAGCAATGAACATGTTTGGCAATGGGCCGCGGGAAGGGGGAGGGGGCATGCCCGACTTGGACTCTCTTACTCAGGCCTTTGATAGTGGAGTTTTGGCCCTCGTTACCGTACGGAACATCGACCGACGGAGGCGGCCGCATCCGTCAGGGTTTATGATGAGCGAAGCTGGCTGGCAGATCAAGGACGTCTGGCAGTCAGGGCCAGGAAGAGTTGCTGTCACACCAGGGTTCCCGTCTCCGGCTTCGCGAAGGGGTCAACGGAGCAGGGAAAGAATTCGAACAAGAAATGCGGTCAACAAGCGGCTTGCCCAACTGGTGAACCGAGCTCCGATGATCAACCCGGTAAGGGTTTGAGCTTTTGGGGGCCTCAAAGGCACAAGGGTCGGTTATCTCAACCTTCTTTGCTTTTCTAATTCCTCTGGCAGACATGGGCACATGCACCTTTTGTCAAGGGGAGGGGGGGGGGCAGGATCACCATCTAGCATCGGGGCGGGACTGTCAGAGAAGAGGACGCTGGCTCTTTATGCCTAATAAAGCATGCCGATTTCGCGGCGAGATATGTCTGATCTACATCCACGCAACCAGGCTTTGCAGGCAAAATACAGAGTTGGCGTCCAATGAGGATGGACAAGGCCTGCGAATAGTTGCAATGCTCTACTGTCCTCTCAGGCTTGAAGCAGCGCATATCAAAATCTGCCCTTTGAAAATCACAAAACAACGATGGTCTCCGCGTCGCCTGAAAAGGCCGAGGCCCCCTGACCGCTTGGTCGCGGAGCTTCAACATCCCAAGCTGGCAAGCTCTGACCGTGAGTCCACTTCTCATGCCGAATGTGGACGGTTACGGAAACGTTGTAGCGTAGAAAGTAGGAAAAAAACAGACGAGAGAAGCAGGGTGACGAAACAACCTCGTAGGCACGGTGGCACGCAAAGTCACGATGGGATGGGATGGGATGGGGCTGATGGCAACCGCCTCATCCACAGCAGATCTTGGTTAGCCTTACTCTGCAGCGGGGCTGGGATCTTGGATGCGATGGATCGCCGACTTTCCTATTCTGAAAAATCGTTGCGACGCTCGAGGGGGTGTGAACCGTGAGGGGTGGTTTGCTAGCGCAGCCAGCTTGGCAAGCTGGGCTTGCTGCTTTGCTTGGATTAAAGTGCAGGGCGATGTTGCAATCCCAATATGGATGCGAGAGCATCCGTGCTGCAACAACGGGCCAAAGCTCCAACTACTTCCAAGTTTAAAAGGAGCTTTCGTCCGAAGGATGATTTGGTAATGGTGTTGAGCGAGTCAAACCGAGTCGAAGTGGCAGCCCGGTCCGAACTCTGCTCCGCAAACTCTGCAAGTTTGCTAGAGCGATCAGTGACGAGCCGTGTGTCTGTGTGTCCCATCATGGCGTTTGCTCGAGTGGAAGGTGTTCTTGCGGATGTGCCATAGATCTTCCCCGAGAGGTTGCTTCCTTTGATTCTGTCTGCCCTCTGATGTCAAGGGCCTTGTCTGGTCGCTGATCCAGATCAGCAAGTTGAATTAGACTTCGCAGCAGCAGCGTGCCGTGTACCTTCTTCGAACCTCGACTTGTGAGACATTGCGGCGCCAGATGTCATGCGTGCCATGTTCAGGGCCTTCAGGCTCAGGCGATAGACGCCAATCTATCGATCAAGGGTTCACCCGATTAAGGCGGGACAGGCCTAAAGGAAGAACCCCAACCGTCACTGTATCCGTACCATAGGATCTATCTTGGGGAACCGGTGGGATGGTCATCGCTTGGGCTTTTGAAGTTGGAACTGTCGAACTCCAGTCGACTTACTTGTCTGTTCCTGTGGTGAGAACTTGAACTGGTGCATTGTAGCAGTGACACGGTACGCGAGAGCTTCGGCGCCAACTCATCCGATGTTTAGTCTCGACAGCGACGATAAGCGTTTGGGGGGCTCGAGTCCGACCCGGTCCAGCATCAGGGCGTCCTCGACTCTTCGGCCACCACAGGCGAGAGAGGATACCTCAGCTCACTCTGTCAGAGCGGACCCTGTTTGCCTGTCAAACCTGGGCTTGGCTTGGCTTGCTTTTGCCTGGCGTGCTTGGATTGAATCTTTTCGGGGGTGCTTGGTGGATACGGCAACTGGCGATGCTGCTATTGACAGGGCCGGTCTTTAATCATGTGGTCAACTCATCCCGGTCTCTGACCGCGGCCCCCTTTCGATCGTTAATCTCACCGATGATGGGCAATCGACTCAAGCGAAATGTGGTCAATGTATTTCCCCTGGTCTTCAGCCCATGAGACCAAATACACCAAGACACCATTGGAAATCCTTAAGTGGGATCTGATCTGTATCCGTAATCGTACAAAAAAAGAATGTCAAGTTTGCTCAGTGTTTGCGGGTGACAGGCGCATGAACCACGGGCTCCCGTCTCTGGCATAGGATCGTTGTCCCCTTTGTTTGTACACTATCCATACGCAGTAGGTAGACGCATAATTTGACAGCTGTGAACTATTGGACTGGGAACCGGACGGTGCTGTTGCACGTCCCCACGGGTCCGCTAGGATGTAGGTATGTCTTCATAGTGTAAATACATTTGACGGCTGAGGCGCTTTGGCTTCAAACATTGTACTCGGAACGTCGGACGCGAGTCCTCGACAGACGTATCTGCGCGTCCAAATTTGTTTCTGGGCAAATAGGTTACGTTTTTCAAAGGTTCCTTGTGGCCTGTGCAATTGCAAGCGAACCTGGGTTGCCCTCGCTGTGCAGCTCGTGATGGACGCGTACACGGACGCCAAGTTTCGACCGGATACATCATTGAACATGGAATGGCAGGCTTCGGAAGTGGAGTTTGACTTCGCCGCTTGCGTGCAGGGCCGCCGTGTTACCGTGAACATGTCGGCACAAGGTCAATCCCACTCTGTTCTACAGGAACCCTCTCGTAGTCGTAGACCTCGTTGGAGTGGGTGAAGCCAAGCTGTTATTGCCTTGAGGCTTGTGTTGGAGTGGCACCGGTTCGTCGATGATCTATCCGTTCTGGGCAACGGGCTTTGGCACCTGCTGGAGATGTTGTTTGCCCGTTGTTGTGCCTGGAAGTACCTGTAGGATCGAGTAAGTTGTAACGACCCCGGTCTCCTAGTCCTACTCTTGTGAAGTTGTGAAGTCATGATTTCCACGCTTCGAGACTTTTCGCAGACCACTGTAAGGCCTTGACTAAGATGGATGGAAAGATAACCTCCCGCGTCAGTGAGTCTGCGACGTCGTCGTCGACGAGAGAGGGTCTGTGAGTCGTGGACCTTACTGCCGTGATGTCCGTGTCCGTCCTAAGGCAAGTGATGGACCTGTCGAGAGCGGCGCCTAGCCCGATGAAGTTCGTCCCTCATCCAAAAAGAGGCTCGTTCGCGAAGGGACCCGACGATATGGACCAGCCCACATGGGAACGCTTACAAGTCTGGACGAAATCGGTGCTCTCGCCACCGCAAACTGCAAATCCTTCGTTCCAACTTCCCGCAGGATAGACTAAGGACTGCTTCTCGTGTTTTCTTCTTTTGGTTCTGTGCTGTCAACGTCCTCACTGTCCCTCTCATTCTACCCCAAACAGTGTCATCTCCAAGTGGTCAGTCGATACGAGTCAGGGAAGTAGCAGTGAAGCTCTCTCTGCTGCATCTCATGCGTCGCAAAATCAAGTCGCAGCATCGACTGAGTCGGTCTTAGATTGCTTGCTTTTGCCGCCTGTAGAGTCTAATGAGAACAGACGTTGGAAACGCTCGACCTCTTCCACGTTGCCTTTTTTTTTTTGTGTCTCGGTGGAAAATGTTGGCATTGGCCGCGTCGTTGTCTCCGTTACGAACGTGCTAGGCTCATGCGAGCAGTGCTTGCTCATTAATGACATTGACTCCTTTTTTGCAAGCATCTCAGCCACGCCGTCCCCATCCCCAGGCCATGTCGAGTGGCAGAGCAGTAGCACGCCAGATTGAACAACGACTTCTGAAAGTGGGCGGTGGGCACGTAAGTAGTCCACTGTCGCAGTGGTCTAGCCCGCCCCTCTCTGCGAAAAGAAAAAAAGACATTCCAGAATACGTGGAGCATTTTGTAAGGCCCGGAACATGGGGCCAGGTTCAGTCAGGGGCGTTCCTTTTGACCGCCGCATATGGATGGGCCGCCCGTCTTTCTGCTGGGTTCGGAAACGGCGGGATCGTGAAGTGACACTGATATCTGCGAACTGAAGTGGCCAGCGGGCTGAGACTCTGAGTTGGCAAAGCATGAGCGGGCGGCGGGTAGTGCCATGGTGCGGAACGACGCCAGCCGGAACCCGTAGCTTCTGAGCAGAGAGAGGCGTTTGCATGGCACAATGAGCTTGCCTCTACTCCGTATGCTGTGTTGCTGCCAACTGTGCCATGATCCATCGTCCTGCCAGCTCAACTATCAGCAGCCTCCTTAACGGTGGGCCTCTCGATGTTGGCTGTTCCGCACCAGGCCGTTTCAAGAGACATGTTGCCCACTATACGTCCGGTCCTGCTGCTTCGAGAAGGCCTAATAGTGATAGGTCATCCGCATACTGGGGAATTCTGAGACAAGACCAGGACAGAAGCGGATGATCAAAACCACCCGCGATACATCGGATAATGGCCCTCATAACGGCCAGAGGCGGTGTCGCTCTGTGACTCCTGAATCCTAGGTATTGACTTTGTGATACCTACTCATATCCGCAGGCACGAGTGCTTCCTGTGGGGAGGCAACAGGGCTAAAAGGGGATGACGGGTGATCGGGACACGAATCGCTACTGAAGCTATTGCCAACAAGTGCCGTTACTACGATGACCGGCGTGTACAGATTTGCGATCCGGAGCTGAACTTTGTAATTGAATGCGGCGTACGGTCCACGGATAGACAGAGGCCCAAAGCGCTCATTGACCTTTCGGACGTCGATGACCATGGGTTTATGGAATAATGGCTGTTGAGCCTTGAGGCCTAGGATTTTTCTGCTGAATGGCGTCGCTGATCATCCCCGATGAGACTGTGGGAAGTATGCCCACCGCCCGTTATGGGCAAAGGCTCCTCCACACTTCTTCAGGGGCCCCAGCGATGCCCTGCAGAGATCATTCATTGGAAACCTGGGAAGGCATTCACGAGTCCCTCGGTTGGCGACTGGGGGTGCAGAAGACTCGGGGAGGGGGGGTCGCGGTTTCGCGCATCCACGGCCATTCAAGCCCCTGTTTGACCTCCGCTGTCAAATTGATTAAAAGAATATTGGGCGGTGATTGCGAGTGTCATCGGTGTCGTCTTCACGCTCTCGTCATCCGTCCGTTTGTTCTATCGAGCAGATGCCCCGTGCTTCCCGCGTCTTGTCCGTCCTGTTTCCGTTCTCCCTCTGCCAGCTGGATCCCCTCGGTGTATGGCTGAGGGTTGCAACCACTGCCAGTGGTGAATCCTTAGGGTCCAGTCCGTAGTTGACTATTTGTGTACGTATAGCTATAGGCATTTCCTCCTTTGCAATATCAAGATCATGGTTCAGGGGTGTGTTTCCGCCGGCCGACAACCCCTGCCTTAGCCCCGGGTGTCGTTGTGCAGCGCGGGAGGGGACCAAGAAAGTGCCAGGCCGAGGGCCGGTCATTGGAGGCCAGCACGAGGAGGTACGGATACTTGGAGGAGAGACGATTTTGGCGTTCGCGGTCTGTCCGACGTGCTCTTTTGCATTCCCACCGTCTCGTGTGGCTTGCAAGGATTACGTGCGGTGGACCGCCACCATCCATGCAGAATCTGGACGGCTTCCCACCCTAATCACCTGCAAGTCAGGCAGTCCCCAGCCAAGGAGGGGAGAGGTATCGAGGCGAAAAAGGTGGATGACTTTAGAGTAAAGGGTAAGAGGGTGCGGTATGTAAGGTTCAGGTGGCCATCCAAGAGGCCGTCACACGTCAAAGTGCCTGGTGCTGGGTGAAATTTCCAAGTTCCATTTCCCTTTTGTCCCCCAATATCATAATCGCTGTTCCCTCCCAACACACACTTTCCGAGGAAGAGGGAGGGCCCTGAATCTGCTTTTTTCGAGTCTTTACTCTTTCCGCCTCAAAGGTCTCATGTTCGACACGTGGAGAAGCAGCCCATTCGAAGAAATAGCTTGAAAGCCGAGAGAGCCCGTCTGGCCCGGACCGATCTGGAAATTGTGCCGGTGGAGACGCAAACAGGAGTTTGGCTTATTACCCCCCCTTGGTCCTGGGTGCCTTCGTATGACGGCCATCGTCTCATTTCTTTGTGTCGCTGTCGGAGTGGGAGGATCGCTTGGGAGGAATCTGTCCAGCTGTGCAACCAATCCTTTTTACTACAACGAACCACGAACGAAGGAAACCAACAAGAACCACAGCAGCAACTTGCCATTGGGAAGAAAGGAAACTTTGAGAAACAATACCAACATCGCATGGAGAATCGTCGTCCTGTCTGGCTCACCATAACCGCATGCATCGATAGCGCGGGTTGTCAATTTGCTTTGACAAGGTAGTTCCCTCCACTCCCCAACTACGAAGCTCTGCCATATGAAAATCCGCCTGGCCAAACCCACGCCTCCCGAGAAACCACGGGAGCTTTTTTGCTTCGAAGGCTTCTTGCAGCTCTCGGCGGGAAAGGCTTTTTCAGAAGAGAAAGACCTGGGCTGACCTGAAGGACAGAGGTCGCCGCCGCGCCGGTTCGTCGAAATGGGGCGAACCTCTAAGTTCACATTCCCCGTCCCCGGGAGGAAACAGAAACCGCCATTTGGCCCGATCGTATCAGGGCCCATGTCGAAAGCGCAAAAGGTTCTGGGGACCGCCGAGATCAACATCGACGCTCCGCGACAATGGGATTCCGCCTCCAACTCTGGCATCAGCGTATGCGTATCCGAAAGCACGGCGACTTATAACGCGAGCGAGAGAAGCCGAGGAGGAGTGATGCGCCATGAAGAGGAGGGCAGCTACGCAGGGAATAATCGCAATAATAGGAACAACGCGAACGCGCAATGGGAGCAGGAGTCCGAAATCGTGCCGGCTTTCTTGACGAACCGATTCGCGCAACTGAGCACAGAAGGCGGCCAGCGAGAGTTTACTACCGAGACATCGAGTCTCGCCCGACGTGGCTCAAACTCGACCATCACTTCGTGGTATGACAAGACAAAGATGCCTCTGTCGATATCGCAGCAGACATCCTCCTCCGCCATGGCCAAGGGCCTACCGCAGAAAGCCAACGCCGTACTCGACATCGAAGGCCAGTCATCCACCAATGTCCCGGCACCGTTGAACCTGAAAGCCAAGAAGAGGCCAAGCCGACTAGATCTCGGGCCCTTGTTGTCTCGGGCCAGGCACAACAGCTTAAAGGGTAAATCCGACCCTCAGCGAGCAAGCTCTGTACGCGGGAACGAATACACCAACCGATCACCCTCGCTCGCCTCGGTCACCTCGCCCAAAAGCACACCACCGCCGATCCAGCAAAGAATCGAGAGGAAACTTACTAGAAAGAGCACGTATGACAGCCTCAACTCGACCGGAAGCCGCCCAAGAACAGGTTCCAGCAGCCGCAGGGGCGCCAACGATATCAGCACATTGCCCAACCTATATGAGCATTATGAGCAAATGTCATTCGACCAAGTCCTGGGACACGACGGTCCTTTGGCTGCTGCATCAACTCATTCTCTGAACAGCGTTGCTCATACGCCACTGAGATCACCGTCGACCACGGACCATCAAAGGAAGAACTTTTCGAGGCCTCCCCTGAGACACGAGGGAACGACGTCCACATACCAGCCTCAATTCGCGCCGTTGCCAGAATCTTCTTCTACATCAACCGGCCATCAGCAGATGCAGCCCGATCGCGACTGCGCATCAAGCGTCTCAAGCCGCTATACCAAGACGTCAAAGGCCTCCAAACGGACAAGCCAGAGTCTAAATGGTTCTGATCTGATGGAAAAGAGTGTGCTGTCGCTGTCGTCTGACTCGGAAGACGACTTCTTCCCCGACACCGTCTCGAAATTCACCGGGGGTTCCCGCAGTAGTGATGCAGGCAGCTTGGCTCCCTCGTCGCTGAGGTCGACTCATTCGCGAGATGCCCCGTCATTGGGACAAGGCTCAAGAAAGTCTGTCAGGCATGCCAGCTTTGCCCCTACCAACACATATCTCACCATTCCTAGCAAATCACCGCCGAGCAAACCAGTCAGTGTCAGCTCGCGGATGAGCTCTCTACCTTCAACTACATATCGGCCTCCACCGGCTGCCTCGAGTCGGTCGTCACAATACTCGACCATGTCAACATCAACAACTGACTCCCTGAACAACTCCTTGAATAACTCTCTGAGCAACAACCGACATAGCCGCTCGGGCTACGGCGTTCAGGAGGCGCGCGTGATTGCCGTGCTCCCCCCGCAAGAATCACATGCAATCCCAGATCGCATGATGAGCAACCCGCCCCAGCGCATGCTATCCACAAAGTCTTCTTCTGTCCATTCGGTCGACCAGCCAACCCCGCCCATGAGCCCGACATCAGTGGAGTCTTTTATGAGTTCCGGCGGTGGCGCTGCCGCGGACAACAACAACAACAACAACAACAACAACAACAACACCGCAGACTCCCGCTTCATGGCCGTCACCCGACAGGAAGAGATGCTGCTCGCAGCTCTCCGAATGAAGCGGGCGCGCATGCGCGAATCGATCCTGGCCGAATACGAAGACGAGTCGAGAAGTTCTTCCTCTTTCCACCAGCGCAACTCTTCGCAAGGTACCATCACCGAGATGGAATGGCCCGAACCGCCGCAGACCCTCCGCCACCAGACATCAGCAACCTCAAACAGCACCATCAAGGCCGGATCGCGCGCTTCTGAAAGTCGCCCGGCGTCATTGGTCAGAGGCCGGAGTCATAACCGCAGCAACTCTCGCCACCTGGACTTCCCCGCGCCCTCCTCGCAGCCGGTCTCCGGAGCATCCTCGAGGACGGGTAGCCTGCGGAAGATGAGGCCGGTTCAGGAGACCACGACACAACAATCGAGCGAATCCTCCAAGCAGGAGCGGATTCTCCTCTACCTAGACAGGCCGGTAGGCAACGTCAACTCGATGGACTTTGCGGAGCCGAGCCCGGACCTGAGCGACTTTATGGACTTTGACAACGTCAGCGAGGAAGACGAGGAGTTTACGAGCGGCATGTCCATGTTTCGGAACCGCGACCACCACCGCTTCACCATGGGCAGCATGAGTAGCAAAAGCCGGGGACGGATGCTGATGACGGGCGAGAGGGTCCGGCACGAGTCCTCGCCGCTGAGACCGAGGGGCGGCGGCGATGACGACGACTACAACGTCGGGAGCCGGAGCGGGAGCACGAAGAGGGCGCCTACTTCCGAGATTGTTGAGAGCGATAGCGACGTCGAGCCCATGTTTGGGATCCCGAGGCCGGATTCGCCCGTGTCGCCCGATGGTACCCTGGGTCTTCCTCATCAAGGACTGTCGAAGAAGAAGGCTGTTCGGCTCAGTGCCGTCGGCAACGCGGGAGTCGAAGCCGGCTGGTGGGGTGATGACGGTTGAACTGTTTGACAGATTGGAGAAGTTTTTCCTCCTCGGAACAACAGAAAGTCTTGTTTGTCTCTCTCTCGCGTCGTGTGGGAACGATTTCCGACAAATCTTCTTCATGATACCCCTTGCACATGAACAACGTCACTTTTCTTTTCTCTTTGTCGATAACAAGATCCACTTGCTGTACAAAAGATTTTCTTAGCGGATATAACAAGAGGCGAGGTGTTATTGGGGCCCCAAGGGACTGGCGGGATGGAATAATTGTGATTCGGGAACTGGAATGAAGCGGGAGGCCGGGGGTGTTCTTTACATGAGCCATTTGCATTTTTATCTTTTCTGATGTATCTGTTCTTTTTTGACCCTCGAGATGGGGGCTACCCGGCATCACGCCCAGTCGAAACCATTTTCTATTGAATGTAATACTATTACACGGTACTCTTGGATGGGAGGGAGGGGCGGCGTAATGAAAGCATCAAACAAGTACTTAGGGAGGCGAAGGCCTTTGAGAAAAACGTCGCTAGCTGAGGAGGATACAGCAAAGCGATGAGAGCCAAATCAAAGTCGATGATGAGATGGACCATCAGGCGAAAACTTAGCACATAGTCATTCGATAACGAGATTACCTCAACCTCCTAGTCGTCTGCCTTTTCTTATCCCATAGCCAACATCATACCTTCTAGCAGCACCGCGCTTGCGTACTTGACATTCCCTTGACGAGCGCTCTAATCGCGTCACCTACGTAATCATGGCCTTGCTGATGAGCTTATCTATTTATCAGCTATGGTAATACTTCAAAAACATCAATGAAGGGATACTCGGCTTGTAGTAGGTCAACATCACGCAAAATACACACTCCAATACGAGATTTGACCGAGTCAATTTAAATCAAAGGCACATCAGTGACATTCGGTACAAGCTCAGCCTTGATTAGATATGAAAAAGAGTTCAGCCCCCGGTTGGGATTACATCTCTGGTGCTCATGCTGGGAATCGAATTCGAACTCGTAGTCTGTCGTCGAGTAGGCTGTGGGCGTAATTGGATGTTGACCTTGAATCACTCCACTACCCAGCCAGTTTAACCTAACCAACCGACCTAGGAAGGCGCCTGCTGTGCTGGTGACAGGAACAGGCTTGGAGGGGTACATGAAGGTATTCTGTCGTGGTATATTGTATTAAACGGATGAATATACTCATGTCCACCCGCGATCGTAGCCGTCGTGTACAACGCCTCAGCAACCCGGCCCCTTTGATTCATCGTCCTCATCGTCCTTCATATTATGGTTCAACATAGCTTCTCGAAGTGATTGCATCCACGATAGAAATATTCAATGAGTTTAGATAAAGCAGGATGATCTCTACAAGGGGATGATATGATACGGTCAGAGCGGTATGCCCCGCATCCGACGCGGGGTAAAGATAGGAACGATCAGATCTGCAAGGGAGTCCGAACCTCAGCCTCTTCTCATGTAAACACCATGTACGTGTAGCTCATAAGATGTACACACTCATCAGAAATCATCTATTTCTTCTACCCGGGACCATCCTGGTTCTGGCAGCCGGGTCGGGTCCATCAGACCAGCAGAAACCACTTACATCCCGGGCCTGTCTCGCCCCACTGCCCGCGTCGGACCCCCGAGCCGGCACAAGCAACTTCCCGGATTGCACCCGGGACCCCCTCTGCTCCATCAATGTGTGCGATGAGAGCCTCTCTGCGAACCAACGCGCCAAGGCGCTGGTAGCTGAGCTCACGATATGGGAGAAGCTGGATAATCTCGTCAACGAGGCGCCCGGCATCCCGCGACTCGGGATCCCGTCGTATGAGTGGTGGTCCGAGGGCCTCCACGGCGTCGCGTCGTCGCCGGGCACAAAGTTTGCAGAAAGCGGCAACTTCAGCTACGCGACATCGTTCCCGCAGCCGATTGTCATTGGATCGGCTTTTGATGATGAGTTGGTGGAGGCTATCGGGGCCGTGGTTAGCAAGGAGGCAAGGGCGTTTAACAATAATGGCAGATCCGGACTTGACCTCTACGTGAGTGAAGACTTAAAGTCGTCCCATTCAGATCAGATGTTGACAGAGTCCAGTCTCCAAACATCAACGCCTTCAAAGATCCCCGCTGGGGACGCGGCCAAGAGACACCTGGCGAGGACCCCTTTCACCTCCAAAACTACGTCGCGGCAATGCTCACAGGCCTCGAAGGATCCTCTGACCCATCCAACAAAAACCTCATCGCAACATGCAAACACTACGCGGCAAACGACTTTGAGCACTACAACGGTGTCGACCGCGCCGACTTCAACGCAATCATCACAACCCAGGACCTCTCAGAGTACTACCTCCCGCCCTTCAAAACGTGCGCCGTCGAGAAGAACGTAGGTTCCTTCATGTGCAGCTACAACGGCATCAATGGCACCCCACTATGCGCCAATGCGTACCTGCTGGAGGATATCCTCCGGCAGCATTGGCGATGGAAAGGCGAGGGCCAATACGTCTCTACGGACTGCGATTGCGTCGCGCTCATGGTCTCGTACCACCACTACGCGCCAGACCTCGGACACGCCGCCGCATGGTCAATGAAAGCCGGCACCGATCTAGAATGCAACGCCCTCCCCGGCTCCGAGGCTCTACAACTGGCGTGGAACCAGTCTCTCATTTCCGAAGAGGAGGTTGATCGCTCACTGACGAGGATGTACACGGCGCTCATCTCCGTCGGCCAGTTCGACTCTGCGCGAGAACAGCCGTTGCGATCGCTGCTCTGGCGAGACGTCGACACAAAGGAGGCGCGGGAGCTCGCGTACAGGGCGGTCGTCGAGGGCTCAGTGCTCCTCAAGAATGACGGGATCCTGCCCCTGTCCGTGGATTCGGACACGAAGTTTGCGCTTGTTGGGCCTTGGGCTAAAGCTACGACGCAAATGCAGGGTAATTACTACGGTCCGGCGCCGTACTTGATTTCCCCGTACCAGGCTGCTCAAGATCTCGGACTCGACTTCACGTATGCCCTTGGCTCCAAGATCAATGACTCGGATGACTCGCTTTCCGATGCGCTCAAATCAGCCAAGGAGGCAGACGTGGTCATCTTCGCGGGCGGCGTCGACAACACCCTAGAAGCTGAAACACTCGACCGCAAAACACTGGCTTGGCCTCAACCTCAGATTGAGCTCCTACGCGCTCTCGCCAAGGTCGGAAAGCCAGTCATCGTGCTTCAGTTCGGCGGCGGACAAGTAGACGATACGGAGCTCCTGGCCAGTGGTTCCATCAGCGCGATCCTTTGGGGCGGATACCCAGGCCAGTCCGGAGGCAAGGCCATCTTCGACTTACTCTTTGGGCGCGAGGCGCCGTCTGGGAGGTTATCCGTCACGCAGTACCCGGCGATCTACAACGAAGCGGTCCCGTCGACGGATATGAATCTTCGACCGGTACCGGGTAACTCGGGCCTCGGGCGGACGTATATGTGGTACCTCGGCGAGACGCCCGTGCCGTACGGCTTCGGCTTGCACTATACGACCTTTGACGTCAAGCTCAGAGCGCTTCAGGAGCCTGCTATTACCTCAACTGGAGAGTTTACACCTTTAGAAGACAGCGAGGACGCGTCTAGAGTCCCATCGTGGCAAAATACTCTGGAGAGATCAATGCTGACTGTTGCCGTGACGGTCTCCAACACTGGGAAAGTCGCCTCGGACTACGTGGCACTGCTGTTCCTCATATCGGATGCCGGTCCCGAACCTAGGCCGCTCAAAACTCTGGCGGGATACACTCGCTTCAGAAGTATCCAACCCGGCCAGGCGGCGGTGAAAGAGGTCGTCATCACCGTGGAACGTCTGGTACGGGTCGATGAACTGGGGAACAGAGTGCTGCATCCTGGGTCGTATGAGGTGTTTGTGGATTTGGATAAGAAAGCGGTGCATAAGTTCCACGTGGGTGGTCCGGCGGTGGTGGTTGAAGAGTTTCCACAGCCGAAAGCCTAGAAGTACTAGTATTGAGAAGGAAAGGGCAGTAGATGCCTCACATCGAAAGTCACCTTATATAGGAAGGTTCTAAAGTGAAAGTAACCACATATCCTTTTGCCGCTGATTGATCTGCCAATCCTTTCCATTCCTTGAGTCTAGTTTCACCGCAATTATATCCCCCCAAGAAGAAAAGTAATCCTATAGCAGCTGTGAGAAACCTATCTTCACTATGCGAATAATCGAAGACTAGTCAAGAAAATAGGCAGAAACAAGTTCTCTTCTTGTTTAAAGAGTTCATTGCGTTGTTCATTAAGGTAGCTTGGGAAACGTCGACACAACTCTGCCCTTAAGCAGAGCCAGCAATTCATAGTCCAAAGTCGTCCACCCAGATCAATTTTCAACATTGTGGAGACCATCCTGTGCCTTTCAAGGACACTCTCGTCGGCTTCTAAACGTCTCCTCGCGGAATCGGAATTGGACTCGGACTCAAGGCGGGAATTCGTCCCCAAATACTGTCGAGTTTGACCTCATCATATGCTTTTATCATTTAATGCTTCGCGATGCCCAACCCTCAGTTTCCATCCAAGCGACGACCAATATAAGAATGAACATCAGGCACGCAAACATTCGACACATTCGTCGCCAGATTCTGACACTCGGCATCCGTATACAACTCAACTATTCCCACCAAGTCAGCAAAACCACTCATTCACCACTCAATCTTTCCCTCCCCCAGAAACAAACAATAACTCACAGCTGAAAACAGGCGTAAGCCCGCTCGCCGAAAACTTCTTATACGTAGAATTATCAATCCCAACCGGAATCTGGTGACACTGTCCAACATAATCGGGCGGAATCGCCATGGCCTGCCCGCGCAGCGTTCCCGTCTCCATCTGCAGCGGGTTCCCCGTGCAATCGGAGGCGGCGTCGTAGAACATTTTGATGGTGCCCATGATTGGTGTCGCGGTCGCGGTGGCGGCGAGGGCTGCGAGGGCGGCGGCAAGGGTTGTGAGCTGCATTTTGTGATGTCGTAGGTGGTCGGCGAATGTTATTGGACTAGTTAATGAGTATCGGGAATAGGATCGAATGTCTACGTTGAAGAAGAGGGTGTTCTCGAGTATTTAAGTCAATTCATGCGGTGAGATCACTTCCGCCGACATACTGGGGTTGTTATTGTTGTTGTGGAACTCCTTTCCTATATTAATATACGATTTCTACGGGGAACAAGGAAACTTGGCGGTCTTGGTCCCCTCCAAGCCTCCATTGATCTACAAAAAAGGTTCGCTGGAAGCTCGTATTTTCAGTGTTTATTTTCGTTCATGCAAAAGGGAGAAGGCTCCACCGGCCGGCCCTCCCGTTCATCCAGTCAATGAGCAATCCGCCTCCAAACAAGGATGGCACTGTTCGACAGTGACGATTCTCGCAGAGAATAAGGTTTTCGGTAGTGACCGGGACCGACGTTTTGCGGCTCTAGAAGAAGAGATTCTCTGGAGAAGAGGGTGAAGTACTCGGATTCATCCTGCCAACTGCCCCAAGATCATGAGAGAAACTGATCGACCGATTGATTGTCTTCTTCAGTACCGAGAAAGGCAGACCTCTATTTTGCCAGACTGCTTTACCGTAAAACACCATGCGCCTTCTTGAGAGGAAGCGTCAAGTACTGAGGAAAAGGGACAATCTCACTCCTCTTCGGCCTAAGCCACACAACTTCATCGACGTCCAAATAAACTCGCAATTGAACACACGCTTATCAATACATGTATACTGTCGTGTCGTTCCAAGTGACTAATCCATCACCCCATTCGCAAAGGATTCATCCTCTGCCTGCACCACAAATGAAGACTTCGACAATGATTGGCCAATGGCTCCAGGCACCACCAGGCACCAGCTGTGCCTTGGTGGCCCAGAATGCCGAGTGACTAAGCGGGATGAGGTAAGCCGAGTGACCTCCTGCTCGAAATGGTCCAAGCGTCTTGACTCTGGATTGCCATACAAGAAGAGGTCCAACTTCGCCCAAGAGTTGGCGATGGATAGCTTTCGCGGAACATTGTCTTGCTTGCTACTAGTATCAAGAGTGAAGAAGGACTGGAGTATATCTGGAGAGACTTTTAGTTCAGATAGCGACTTCTCCACCGCAATTTACTCAGCAGTCTTGAAGCTGGTTTAACTCCACCAAAGCAGCTTTCGGCTTACACGACACCACAACACCACAACGCCAATGCTGTTAACAGTCACACAGAATGTTCGCGCAGCCAACAACCGACATCAAGCACACAACAACGAACACCGACGCCCCGAGAGACCTACACAAATCCTCGACGTCAATGTCTGGGGAAGCGGCGAAAACAGCGAACTAGGCCTCGGCCCCCGTGTCACCGGCGCCCCGAGACCTCGTGCGCAAAAGCTTCTACAAGCCTATGACATTGTCCAGATCTCCGCCGGGGGCATGCATTGCGCCGCATTCACCAACGACGGCGAGGTGTTGACGTGGGGTGTCAACGACGACGGGGCACTGGGTCGAGTAAAGCCCTCAGATGCACCAGAGGAGGGTCCGCAAGACTTGCTGGATCCGTTCGAGAGTACACCTGGGCCGGTGCGTTTCGAAGATGACCTCGATATCGTCCAGGTTGCGACGACTAATAGCGCATGCTTCGCTCTCACTTCCGAAGGATCTGTGTACGGCTGGGGTAGTTTTGCTGTAAGTCCATCATCTTGTCTTCCCTCCCTACTTATCCCCGCTAACAACCCTCAGGGAGGAGACGGCAACTTTGGCTTCCTATACGACAAGCCACCTCAAACTACCGAACGTCATCCCGTGCCTATTCCCGGCCTGAATAATATTGTGGAACTAGCCGGCGGCGCCAACCACGTCCTCGCTCTCACCCGAGACGGCGATGTCTTTGCCTGGGGTTCTGGCGAACAAAACGAACTAGGCAGACGCCTACTCGCCCGCCGTCGCTTCGAGAGCCTCATCCCCCAGCGCGTAGGTCTACCCAGACACCAGACAGCCAAGATCTTTGTGGGATCGCATCATAGCTTCGCCATCGATGTCCGTGGAAAAGTCTGGGCCTTTGGGCTGAACAACTTTGGCCAGTGCGGTGTCCCGACACGGGAGGATACTGGCTTTACGACAATCATATCGCCGACAATCGTCAAGAGCCTCAAGGGGCACTCGATCCACCACATCGCCTGCGGCCTTCACCATTCCATTGCTTGTACCAACGAAGGGAAAGTCTTGGTTTGGGGCCGGTGCGATGACGGCCAAATGGGCATCGATCTGAACGCCGTACCTCACGAGGACATCATCTTCGACGCGAGAGGGAGACCAAGAGTACTAAACGTACCGACCGTCGTTCCTGGTATGTTTCTCTCAGCTTTGAGCCTAAGATCCAAAACTGACCAGCCCCTTTTAGTACCAAGCGTCGACTATGTGGCGGCTGGAATCGACAATTGCTTCGCAGTTTCTCAAGGTGGTGACGTAGTTGCCTGGGGGTTCTCAGCCAGCTATAACACCGGACTTGGGACCACTGATACCGTGAGAGAACCAACCGAGATGCGTCGCAGTGGTGCTCTGATGTTCGTCGACGCGGGCGGCCAGTTCGGTATCTCAGCAGGGCCACGCTTGCGTTGAGCTTCAAAAGTTCCTTTCCACTTCTTGTGCCCCTTCACACAATAAGGAAGTTGAGGTTCGAAGTCCTGAGCTTCTGGACCCAGGTGCGTTCCGTCTGCGTGTCTGGGTCCACAGACTCCTCGAGGTTCCAAATCGTCTGCAAAGTATCCATGGCGGTCATGATGAAGCCCCAAGGAGTCGCAATCATGAGTCTCTTCAGCCGATCGAGAATCCATTTTCGTCTTTCCGGATCAGTGGTCCCAGCACCAGCAATAAACGTCGGCAAACACGTCGCCTTGAAATTAGGGTCTTCGTCGTGAATACATGAGAGGTGGTAGAACATCTGGCTGTCTAGCTCATCGCGGTCGACGGGTACCAGTATCGAAGCGGACGGGAGGGCATGTAGGATATACAAGCATGCAGCAAGCCTGTGGGCGGAACCGGCATGGATTCGACTTTCGACCGGAATGTGTTTAAAGTAGGAAATGGTACGCGGCTCATACGCCCAGTCATGGGTATCGAAGGACAAAGCCTGCTCGAGCAGATGCGCCGCGGCTTGGGCTATGGATGCCGCAGACTCAAGGTCATCCGTGGGCTGGTTCGACAGCTGTGATGCTGCCAAGAGAATCTGCAAAACATCAGGTGGACAGCAGAGATAGCTGTTGGCAGTAGCTTTGCCAAGAACCGCAGAGGCCTGAGAGGCTTGGTAGTACGACTTGGCAGTTGGCGTCTCCTGGTTGAAGGCAGAGGCCAAGATATAATAGCTTAGGGTGAACAGTGTTAGCCTAGATAATTTCCGTTGCCCAACATCAGACACATCAACTCACATGAAGCAATCCGACATAACATAATCTCGTAGGGCAACATCTGCGGTGGAGGCGGGGTTCAACAAGGTCATGATTCGGCCCGCGCCTTCGAGATGGGGCTTCCAGCCGCCGTGCCCGCTCTCAATCAGCTCCACGTTGACGAAGAAGAGTACGGAAGCTAGTACCACGTCCCCGCCGACGCCGCCAATGTCCTGTAAGGCTGAGGAGAGCAGGCGCAGGGCCTTGTGCTTGGCAACCAGGGCATCGGTTAAGGCTTGCCGGGCGTTTAGATCGGACTCTGGATCTGAGGACAGGGCGCGGGACAGATTAGACATGTGGGCTGCGGAGGCGGCGACGATGATGTGCTGCAGCAAGGGGTGTGCTTTGGTCAACGGGATCAGGGAGCGGAAGGGGTTCCTGTCTGGGAGGTCCCAGGAGACGAGATCCCTACAGACGCGGGTGGTGACTGCGGAAGCGACCGAGTTAGCCGTTCTAGCGTCTTCCCGAGAGATTGGATCAGGAGGTGTGAATATTACAGTAAGAGAGGTAGTGGCGGTAGTGATGCTCCACGCCCTGAAAGAGAGGATCGACGAGGGTCCAGGGTGCCGACTGGGTTTCGGTGCCGGCGGGCCGGACGGCAGAGACGACGAGCGCGGTGGAGTCGTTTTCGGCAGATTCGGCAGAGGCCGAAGGGTCCTGGGGCTGGAGGCCCGAAGCGGAAGAAGCGGGGGAAGAAGAGGCTGAGGCTGAGGGCTTGCGCTCGAGGGTGGAAGTCCGCGACATCGGGATCATGCTGGTGGTGGTATCGGCCGAGAAGGTGATGGAGGTCTTGCCGGCGAGCTTGCCGCGGCTGGCGACGCCCTCTGTCCAGCGGAAGAGCTTCCCGTAGCCAAGACATTCCTGCCCGCCGACTGTACACTTGTGGCAGTGGGGATAGGAGCGGTCACAGCGGAGGCGGCGGCGGCGACAGTTGTGACATGGCTTCGTCGGGGCGTTGAGCATGTCGATGCGGGACATTGCAGCTGGTTGCAGGTAGCCGCAGGTGCGGCTCTCAAGGTGCGCGTCAGCGCGAGTGCGAGAGTGGGCGACCGGCGATGCGGGCGTGTGCGCGGTATCCAGGCTCTAGACTCTAGAGTGAGGTAATCTCGAGTCTCGGCGGGCGGTGGGTAAGGTTCCCGTCGTCTCCCCAAGGGCCCAAAGGCGCAAGATCGAATCCAGAAACGGAAGTAAGCTGTCTTTGTGGTAACGATAACGTAAAACAGACAGGGTCAGACAAAGCTTGCTTTAGTCAATGGGCGTTGGACGGTTGTCGAGGCGGCTGGTGAGAGGATCTTGGTAGTGGTTTCTATGGGAAGCGGTGGTTGTGACCGGGCAGTGGTTCGGTTGACGCAGATACTGCCTCAATGGAGAAAAGAAGCGTCAAGACATGCATGACAAGCAGATCCAAGATTGGTAATCGGAGGGGTCCTGTTGTGTTGGTAGACGCGGGGATGGATGGCAGGCCGCAGAATGGCAGATGAGCGTCAGAGAGGGCTCGTTTGCGCCAATTTAGAGGGGGAGACAAGATCAGATTGGGTGAAGATTAGGAGGGTTGGCAGATAAGGTGGGTGACGTTGAGCGACAGTTTCATGCGGAGGATGGAGAGTCCGAGACTCCAGTAGTCCAGCCCTGTAGATAGTAGTAAAATGCGATTGGAAATGTTATGGCGGTGACGCTGTTGCCGGTACTGGAGGTTGAGGTGATGGGAATCGTGAAGCTTCGATTCGGTGGCCGAAGTCAGCGGCACACAGATGCCGTCCGATAAGAACCGATAAGATGGAGCACTAGGCTTAATCCGGAAGCCAAGCCACAAGTCGTGCATTTGCAGTCTCCATATTTTCTTCTCGAAGCCGAGGAGCACGGACGGGATAGTCGACGCTTGGTTCGTCAAATAGTTTGACCTTTGCTGAGTCACCACTTCTTGACAGATGTACTAGACTCAATGTGGTCTGCTGCGTCTGAAGAACCCCACAAATTGTCGTTCCATGTCGCAACAAAGAACCAACCAGAAGAAAGGATGTGTCAAACGCACCTCACTTCGGAGAGAACTTTCGCATCTTCGCCATGTCCAGCACTCCAGCCCTTCACACCTTCCATTGACACCTTGAATTACGGAGGTGCGTCTCAATAGTCCTTGCAGTTGCTGCCAAGACCAACCCCTGCCATAGACAGGGGAGTCGACAAAGGGCTGGCTAGGGTATATACAAGCGGCAGAATTCGGCCACTTCCACCTACTGTAATTATTATCAATTTAGCAATAAAAAGTCGTCAATTAAGGTTAATTAGTAGTCGTTTAACAGTATAATCCAGCCCGACGACCCTCTTTATATTCATTGCCGCCCTCTAGGGTAATTATCTATTAGATATAGTAAGGTACCCTTTTTATTTATTTCTAGATCTCTTCTTACGGTAATATTTTCCAGTACTCTTACTAGTAACGTATTGCTTTGGCCCGTGACAAAGGCGCCCCCTTCCTGGTAGTCTATCTCTTTATCCACGGCCAACAAGGTTTAATAGGATTAAGGTCAGGTAAATTACCCGGCTAGAAAAGCTTTATAATCTCGAAAAGGCTATATATATAATAGGTAAAGTAATGGTCGTAAGTAAGTACTTTATCCTCTTATACGATTAAATTACTAAGTAATCTTTTAATATAAAGGAATAATTTAGATAATAAGATCTTTTTACGGTATCTGTACTAGTTAATTCCGCCCTTACCGTTCTGTATTAATTTACCCGACTTTATATTCTAATTGAATTAAGGTTTACGGCCCGGTTAGTTCTATAAGCCTATTTGCTCTATACTACTCTCGAATTCCTACTATTAACGTCGAACGGGCTCGAGCTCTACGTTAAGCTCGGTAATCACTACGTCGGTAACCTTCCTCTTAGTAACAGTCTTAGGAATCCAACAGTAGCACGGCCCTTTTAAATTATATAAAAAAGACCCCTAAAATATAAATTCGGAATAACCCTTTTACCTCTCTCATATATACTATCTAAAATAAGCCTCGTCTAGGTAATACTAGAGCTTATAACTACTGCGGCGGTAGTTAAGGGTAACCGTAGTCTCGTCTAACTATATAACCCGCTTTTAATCGTCGAGGGTCTAGTATTAGTAGTTAAAGTACTATTTAAGTCGCTCTTACCGTATCTTTTTCGTTAAGCCTGGCTTATAGGTTAATTTAGTCTTATAAAAGCTATAATGACGAAAGATTTGCTAAATAGTTATTATAAATATGTTAATGCCCTCGTCTTTTAATAAGTCCCTAGCAATATCAGTACAGTTCTTTTCATGCTTATACCGGTCGCAGTAGACTTTACGGATAACGGTATTGTTGACCTTTTTTATCTATTTAGTTAGACGGCCACTTTAGGGGGTATCTTTATAATAGGCGGGCTTAATCGAGAAGGTAGGAGTAGTTAGGTCGAATCTGTTCTTTTTTACGTAGGTAAGAACGTCGTAAATAGTTCGAATTAGAATTTCTAGAGCCTAAGAGACCTATTCAGTAGTCTACCTAATAAGTCGACTTCGTAAAGCAAGAATCACTACCCTGACGCCTGGATCTAGCTTCTTCTTTATCGGCATCTTAGGATCCATATTAAGGAAAAAAGAGCAACGTAGTAAGTAGCGATTTAGCGGTTTTAATATTATTGTAGGATTAATAGTAGTATCGTAATGGCGGTATATAGGGTAAAATCGTTGCTATGGGCAGTGCTGGGGGGAAAATAAGTAAAGTGGGTCAAGATCAATCCCTAGGCTCTTATTGGTTCAGATGGGCAGTAATTGTGGGTCTGGGGCTTGGCAGCGACTGCAAGGACTATTGAGACGCACCTCCGTATTGTGTCATCATACCAAGGGCGTCATTTCGGTCGTCACCAAGCAGCAGAATTGCAGGTCGCATACCAATCAGAGGCAAACTAAGCGATCGAGGACCCTGGGCCGAGCCCCGGCAGGCAAATGCTCTCTCGATCCATTTTCCGTCTCATCTGCGCAAGTTTCCTCCCTCGAGCTGACTCAATCAGTATTAGTTAGCCACAGCTTAGCAATTCTCGAGCACTTTTCGCCTAGAGCAAAGTACGCAACAAAGGACATCGGAACCCAAAACTCTGTGTTCCAAAACCCGAAACGGTGGCAGTTCTTTGCCGAGAAGGGCAGCCAAGGCGCACGCCATGCTCCAACGACTTGTCTTTTGTCAGCTTTCCGAGCCATGAGCCATGTGAGGCTTCCACGCTTCTCCCCCCGCGGGCTGGAACCTTGAGAGAGCCAAGCTGGACATCTGGGACGACGGTGCCCCATCTAGGCCCGTGGGTTCGTTTGTTCTTCCCGGCGCTGGTCGTTGGTCGTTGATCCTAGGCCAGATGCAAATCCTGACGCTCCTTTTGCTCCATGTCTCCATTTCTCCACACCAGAGGCCACCCCCGATTAGAAATTCTCTGCGTCAGAGGACTTTTCTTTGATGGATCGATGGTCTGTTCCTGGCTGGTATTTAGATCTTGGAGGGACCCATTGCGATGCATCCCATGCGAATCTGGTTCTCCTACTGTCAAGCGTTGTGTTTATATGACTTAGATGATCTTCACGATACACCCCCAATAGACTCTTTGTACCTGTACACTACTTTATACCCGCTAGGTACATAGCGCACAAGACCAATGACACAGCACGACGACATCGACCGGGAAGCCGGCTCCGGCGGCCAACCCACCGAGTTCGATGTCGAGTTTCTCGGCCGACAACGGCCGGCCGTCTTCAAGTCTCAATGGGCCGAACTGGGCTTCTGCTTTTCCCTTTTGGGATCCATGTTGATGGCTGTAAGTCTCTACATGCAGTCACTCTACATCAAAGCGTAGTTTCTAATCCACAACTAGGAATACTTTGTCAGTGGCTTCCACATCATCCTCCCGCCGCTCGCAGAAGAGCTCGATATCCCCGCCGCCTCCCAAACATGGCCTTCGAGCGTCTTCTCCCTCGTCACCGGCGCATTCCTCCTCCCGCTAGGCAGGCTGGGCGACATGTACGGCGGCTACTTGACCTTTAACGTCGGCCTTGCCTGGTTCTTCATCTGGTGCCTCGTCGCCGGCTTCAGCAACAACTACATGATGCTCATCGTCTGCCGAGCCCTCCAAGGCCTCGGCTCCGCCGCCTACCTTCCCGCCGGCATCATGCTCCTCGGCAAGATCTACCGCCCGGGGCCCCGCAAAAACCTCGTCTTCGCCCTGTACGGCGCCTTTGCGCCCATCGGCTTCTTCTTTGGTATCCTCATCGGCGGTGTATCGGGCCAGTTCCTCAACTGGCGGTGGTACTTTTGGCTCGGCAGCATCGTCCTGGGTGTCATCGCCGCCGTGTCTTTCATCACGATCCCGCGCGATTACCGTGACAAGCGCCAGGAGATCCGCATGGACTGGTGGGGCGCCGCGACCATCGTCCCCGGCCTATTGCTCGTGGTCTATGCCATCACCGACAGCTCGCACGCGCCGCAAGGCTGGGCGAGCCCCCAGATCCTCGTGACTCTCATACTAGGCGTCGTCTTCCTCGTCGCGGCGTGGTATGTCGAGAGCCGCGTCTCCGCGAACCCGCTGCTGCCAGGCGACCTGTTCGCCCCCAAATCCATGAAGACGCTCGTGGCCGCTCTCTTCTTCGCCTACGGCACCTTCGGCCTCTTTCTCTTCTACTCGAGCTTCTACATCGAGACAGTGCTGCACATGTCGCCCTTGCTGACGGCCGTGTGGTACGTGCCCCTCATCGTCGGCGGCATCATGATCGGCACCGTCGGCGGCTTCACGCTGCACCTGCTCCCCGGAAGAGTCCTCCTCGCCATCTCGGGCACGGGCAACCTCTTGAGCGTGCTGCTCTTCGCCATCATGCCGGATAACCCCAACTACTGGGCCTACGTCTTCCCCGCCATGATCTGCGGCACCATCGGCATCGACATTACCTACACGGTCAGCAACGTCTTCATCACGACGAACCTGCCCAGCCACCGCCAGGGTCTTGCCGGCGCGCTCATCAACAGCCTCCTGTTTCTCGGCATCAGCTTCTTCCTCGGCATCGGCGACGTCGTGGTCGGCGAGACCACCGGCCTGGGACTCAAGAAGAGCTACCAGGCGGCCTTTTGGCTTGCCACCGGCGTCGCTGCTGTCGCGCTGGTGCTCTACGCTCTCGTTCGCATCGGTTCCGCAAAGAGCGATCTCACGATGGAAGAGCGTGAGCAGCTCGCGGCGGCGGAACAGGCTCGCGCGCGGTCGTCGGACAACGCATCGACAATGCACGAGGATGCAAATGACCAAGACGCTTCGGCGACGGCGACCGACACCGATGCGGAAAAATGTAAGCCGTCTGCGCCGGAGGAACAAGTCCCGGGGAGGTGAATGGACCGGCCGACTACCAGGTCTACCGTTTACGACTGTCACGTTTGATGAATATTCCTTCCGACTTTGGTTGTTGACCGCCTCGAGAAAGAAGAAGGGCGCACGCATAACGTCGTATGGACTAGACAAATTAATTGACTCGAAAGATGTGGAGAGCGCGAAAACCAATATGTTTGCCATACGGCAACGAGATTGGGTAATACGCCGCGCTTCCCCTCCCAACTTCTCAACATGGGGAGGATGAGGATCATCCATCACGGGGACGCAACCTGTCGGGCGCAGAGATTCCACCATGGATCTTGAGGAGAAATTGAACGAAAACGAACCAGGCGAGACATATTGACGTGTACGCACTCGAGAGTCATGGCAGGTAGAGAGACTTTCTGCCTCGCACCGAGAGACCGCGGTTCTGAGGATATTAACAGGCCCAAAAAAAAAAGAGAAGAGGCGAACTCCACACTACAATCCTGGATTCCGCGGAACCTCCTCAAGGCTCGAGGGCTCATGGGCGGAGGTTGCATTGAAATGCGCCCAGCCCATTTTCCTCAACCAAGGAATTTTCACTCAGGCTCGTACCGCCCGCCAAGTCTTCTGTGCCCAGAAGAACCTTTCGCCCGCGCGGCGCACGGGAGCGGGAAAGAAGCACGTCTTTCTTGGCTTCGCCACTTGTTCCTGAGCGCCGAGATTTGAACAACACAGGGGGAAACACAGCAGAGCCAAGAAGATCAACGCTCTGCAGCACTGAAGGCTCTCCTCCATGAAAAAAATAAATAAAAAAAGTCTTGGGAGCCAAGGGTTGGAAACTGCCAACTCTCCGAGATACCCGTCTTGGCAACGCTTCTTGGCATTGATCGATTTACTGTGAGAAGGCTGAGTGGTGGAACGACGACATGACATCTACACTATGCGCAAGAGACTGCCATTGCGGTGTGGGAATCGCATTTGTTGGAGACTTGGAAATCCCACCTAAAGAAAGGCAAATGCGCTGATCGGTGTGGGTTTTGGCTGACAAGTTACAAGAAGGAGGGGGGGGACGGGAGCACGAGGTTAATTAGGCTCGTTTTGGGATTCCCGTCAATGGTAGCACAACAATAATCAATTTTGGGTTGTCTACCTCATAATCCACTCCTTGATCACTTCACAAGTTCACATACCTCAAAGTGACAGAGAGTACGGTACGGATACACATACTGTAAAAGGTGTATTGTCACATTGGTGCAGGGCTCAGACCAGGCGACCAGGGCGGCGCATGGAAACGCAAATGATTGCTGGAGACGTGAATAAAGTGGCAGAGAGGGGCGGGGGTTCCCATCTAGTCGCCAATAAGCAACAATCTACGCAAGTTTCACTAGCAAGTTTACAGAGTACGTCAATGTTCGATACTCTGACTGGTGGCCCCTTCTTGTCCGTAGTAGTGCACATCCATGATCTGGCCCTGCTTTATGGATGTTCTGGCGACCTTGTTCCTTATTCGTGGACTCTGAGTCCGGTCATGGAGTATGCAGTAGAGAGAAACCTCCCACCGGCTTGGAGCAGTGAACAACCACACAGCCGAGACAACAACTCCAGGTCACCTGTCACTGCTCAGTGTAACCAAAAACTACACCCCCGATTCCCCGAACATCACTGATCCATCGTCCGAAGTACTCCGTACGCCGTGTTCAGCGGTCAGGATCGGCCGGTGGGGTTTAACTTGGGTTGACTTGGGTCCGTGTGTTGTGCGCCCATCCGAGGATGAGGGACTGCTATGAAGACCCTCCCGACGTAAGGGGTTCATATTTTCGAGATGGACACCCCTACCAGGGGGGCCTAGGAGTAGAACTGGAGCAGCAAATCCATTTCAGGGAACAATCCGGGTACGCGCCGACGACTTCCATTCCGTTCCAAAATTGGCAGCTCCAGCGCCAACATAACATCAAGGTTTGAGGCGCTAGAATTTAAGGTAGGCGCCGGGAGAAGACGACATCGGCAGAATAAGCATCGGAGAACGGAACGAACGGCTTCAAAGACGAGAGATCAGACCCCAAAGACGGCAAATATCAAAGTAAGCATCGGGGAACGGGACGGACGGCTTCAGTAGACTGCTAGATAGACTCAATAGGATGAACCACATGAACTTTAGCATACAGCCCCATACACTGATAGCGGTAGTTGGTATCCGTAAGGTAGTTGACGGTACGGAATAGTGATCCCCCATTCCAGCCTCGCGAAAGCCAAGAAAAAGAGGCCGCATTCCTCTGCCGCTTTCCAAAGTCCCAAGACTCCGAGAGAGCCCAGGCCGCGCAACTCTTGCCTCCCTTTGAACCTCGTCTTCGAAATCAAAAAAAGGCTTGGTACTCAATAAAAGTATTGTGCAATATGCGACTTGCCTACCCAATCTCCGGGCCGACGTTGAAACAGGACGGTTGGCCATATTAACAAATCGTGGCAAAGGACAATAGAAAATAGGGGCGTGTGACGTTCTCCCCTCCCCCGTCCAATGGTGCGGAACACGCCAAGCAAATCGAGGCCCCAGCTGTAGCCTGCGCGTCCCGACAAGGCCAGTGCCCAGACCCGGGAAGAGGGAGCAAAAACGTGGTTGCTTGAAGTTTCTCTGGCTTTTGCTGAACTCAATTGCTATTGATTCATAGCTGTGAGTTATCGAGTAGTTCGAGGCACCTACCAAGAGGAATAGTTGAACCCAAATAATGGTACTGAACTCCGGGAACCGAGTCCGGGTTGCTGGCCTTCGGCTCCGGCACACATCTCACGACATCAAGCTTTCCACAGTCCGATGTCCTCTATGGAGGTTAGGCCCGGCAGTTCAGTACCTGACAGGTCTCCGCGCTTTCTTTCTCCAGCAAGACCAGTTGACCCAGCAGCACCCAAGAAGGGGGGAAAAGGGGGGGAAATGCAGAGAGAAAAACCTCCTGTAATCCTGTGAAGAGCTCCACCGTATTCTCCACGATCTAGTTATTCAGGGAGAAACGAACTGCAGGCTCCGAGTCTCCGACACTCAGTACGGAGTAGCCCGCTGTGAGCAGTGACCACTGATGACAAGTCACAAAACTGCTGGCTGGCTGGCCTGCTGCTGGCACTGCTGCGCAAGCGTGGCAGGCAGAAAAAGGAAGCGGGGAGTATAGGTATCCCAACTGGGCATTCGTAGGCCTTGCTTTGCTTGAAGCTTGCGTAGTGTAAATGCGGGCTGCTGTTGTTGCTGCTGCTGCTGCTGCTGCTTGCTGCGGACAATAAGCGCCACGCTCCGGCGGCAGGGTTGGCTGACAATCTGGCAGTTGAATGACGGGAGTGACAGCCTGCATATCCCACGCATCCCTCGCCGCAGAGACTGCAGTCTGCGAGAGAGGCGTTCTGACTGGTGCGACAACCTGAACCTGAAGCTCAGAGATGGCCCGGGCATAGAGACGCAGAGACGAACTCCATGTGCAAGTTGGCTGTACAGATATTGCCGGCGTAAAGCCTTTCGAAGGTGTCAGGGAGTTGGCTAGTTACGTAGCGCTACTAATTAGAGTCTCGCATGACTCTGGAGAGCTTCCGCGTAAGAATATCCGTACTCAGTTACAACACTGAAGAGTCGATACCCAAATCAGAAGAGTCAAGCTCGCCACGAGTTAACGCTAGGTGACGGAGAAATACCTTATCTGAGACAGATCCTTGCCCCCACAACTCTACCTGATTTTAAATTTAATATACGCCGGGACCATCAACCCCACTCGAGCCATTCCCGTTCGGTATCCCTGACATCTTCATCCCCCGGTCGCCTGACCCCCGAGCCGCCGACCCAACGACAACGGCGACGACAACGACCCAGAACTTCCTCTCTTCAGTCTCCATAGACCATGAGTCCACCAACTCCATCCTCCGGCCTCCGGTTGACGGGTCTGCCTCCGAACGCGGGAACGACAGGACGAGAAAGGGAACCAACGTAAACGACCACACGCCCCTCCCCTGGCCCTTCGACAACCGACGACACGACTTCCTCATTACAGCTAGCGCCTTCGTCTTACGGTCTTCTTCTGTCCATTCCCGGAACCACCAACTCGATTAAACAACTGGACCCTGCGGTAAGTGGGAGTTGGATCAAGTTGTTCAACTCCGTCGGTGAATATTCTGGGAAAAACCTAGGAGAAGAAAGGGTAACTACGTCCGCAAGCCTGCAGAATATGGGGGGACATCCTGAAATTCTGCTCACCTGCTCCGTACTCACCTTTTTTCTGGACTCTTTTTTTTTTTCTGCCTCTATCCCCCCTTTCGGACCCAAACTTGCTCAACCCGCACTATTGAGCGACTGCCGTGATTGAAGGGGACCCATTTACGGAGGCCTCGAGTGCGTTTTCTTCTTCTGCTTTTGTCCGAAAATATCGACTTGATGCCCTGGACCCGGGTAACTGACGTTGCCCCCGGGGAACCAGTATTGAGGCTCTTCCGATGGTTGACAACTCCACCCACGGTACTGGGCCTGATCCGATGCCCAGTGCCCCCCGTTCTCTTCCCCCCTTTTGCCATAATCTGATCCGTGAGCAGGAAGAGCCGAAGAGGGTATCCGTACGGACAGGTACCATGGTCCGTAGGGAAGAAAAGGAATCATCATCGAAATCCTTCCAGTATATTCTCCTCGAGTTTCAACGATACTTACAACCCGTCCCATATTCTCGGACTCCCTCCATGTTCCATTCCTCTCCACACACCCCTGTAACACGTCGTCCGCCTTCGTCTCTTTTTTTTTCTTTCATCCCATCAATCATCCCCTGGCTTCATTTCGAAGCCCACATCCCTCTATATACCCTGGCTCGTTTCCAAACGTCAACTCGCTCTTACTGGCTTAGTCTGTGTCTTGGCGGAATATCGACCAAACACCTCCTGGCCTGCGTTTCCCCTAAACAAACGAACCACCATCTCTCAGCTCGTACCACACCACCAGTCCACCACCACACACCACCACATGGTCCCCAATGGTCAACCTTTTCCGTCCCGTCTATTCGTGCGATTTCAAGTTCAAGATCGCAGGCCCCGGGTACCGCTTCACTGCCACCGTGACATTGAGTCGCCCGTGCTTCATGCTCGAGGGCAACCGGCATGTCCCTTTCTGGGTCTTCTGCTTTGTCCCAGTGCTTCCTTTTCAGGTTCATGTTCAATATACTACAAGCTCTTGTCATGTTTTGCCCTTCCCGCCCTATGTATCCGTACTACGTAGTGTATTTCCTACCGCCAACCTTCTCCATCATCCCTGCGCGTGACGCGATGAGCAGCGTGATCAATGAATGTACTCTATCCCGTAGCATCTGTATCCCAAAGCCCACACCCCCCCTTCCCCTTCGCCCCTTCTCTTGACTGTTTCTCCACCCACAGATGCACCCATCACGACCTCTCTCCGCCAAGGACCTCCCAACATTTGGCCCAGCCTGTCCAGGCCCAGGCAAGGCACCACGCAAGTGCCAAGCCCCAAAGCGTCGAGAGCCTCCTCCTTCCTTCTACCATACTGCTCGGCCTGGGTCCCGCTCGTGGCCTCCAATACCACCATGATCCTCGCCAAGACCAGGGATGTGCCAAGATGCGCACGCGTACGCAAGCAATCACCCCCCCCTCCTCCGGGAGTCTCCCAGAACTGAACCCAGAGAAGGGAAGACATGAACAGTACCTACTTGCAGGACAAGGGCTTGCTCGAGTTTCTCCAGAAGAGAGCCCAAAGGAAAGGGTCTTGGCCCTTGGCAACAGAAGCTTAGCCAAGAGATGTCTTGGCTCTGAATACTTAAGAACCATCCTCCTCCGACCTCACACTCACATATCCTTTTGATCTTCATCCCGCTTCACTTCCAACTTCTTCAGTCCTTCAGCTCTTCGCGCTCTTTGCATTCGTTCTCTCAGTAAAACCTCACTGCCAATACCTTCGTTCGACGTAGATCGTCAACTCCATTTTCTTTTACCACCACTACCAAAACCAAACCACAACTTAGCTCCCAGCTTATTCACACAAAAGAAGTCAAGATGAAGTTCTCTCTCGCCTCCTCTATCGCCGTCCTGGCCGCCCTGGCCAACGCCACCCCGACCCCCACCGTCGTCGACGGTTCCGCCGTCGACCCCCGTGCCGTCGAGAAGCGCGCCACCATCACTGACGCCTGCGACGTCGGATACGGCGCCGGCACCACCGGTGGCTCCGGCGGCACCACCACCACCGTCTCTACCCTGGCCCAGTTCACCGCCGCCGCCACCTCCTCCGACAAGAACGTCATCGTCGTCAAGGGCGCCATCACCGGCGCCACCAAGGTCAAGGTCGGCTCCAACAAGTCCATCGTCGGTGCCAAGGGCTCCTCCCTCACCGGTGTCGGTCTGTACATCAACAAGGCCGAGAACGTCATCATCCGCAACATGAAGATCAGCAAGGTCCTCGCGGACAACGGCGACGCCATCGGCATCCAGGCCTCCTCCAAGGTCTGGGTCGACCACTGCGAGCTCTCCTCCGACCGTGACAACGGCAAGGACTACTACGATGGTCTCCTCGACATCACCCACGCCTCCATGGCCGTGACCGTCTCCAACACCTACCTCCACGACCACTACAAGGGCTCCCTCGTCGGTCACTCCGACTCCAACTCGGCCGAGGACACTGGCAAGCTCTACGTCACCTACGCCAACAACTACTGGAAGAACATTGGCTCCCGTGTCCCCTCCGTCCGCTTCGGAAACGTCCACATCTTCAACAACTACGAGGAGAGCATCGACACCTCCGGTGTCAACACCCGCATGGGCGCCCAGGTCCTCGTCGAGTCCTCCGTCTTCTCCTCCGTCAAGAAGGCCATCACCTTCCTCGACTCCAAGACCACCGGTTACGCTACCGTCTCCGACGTCGACCTCGGTGGCTCCACCAACGACGCCCCTGCTGGCACCTTCTCCAAGCCCGACTACTCCTACACCAAGCTCGGCTCTGCCAAGGTCAAGGCCTCCGTCGTCGCCTCCGCCGGCCAGACCCTCTCTTTCTAAGTTATTAGTTGTCGGTAATAGTGGTGTGAGAATTGCTGCAATCAGCGCTGCCGGCCGTGGGATGTTTGCGTCCCCGGTTGGAAAGTACTAGGAAGAAGTACGGAATTCATGTAAATACTTTCTCTCTCTCAAGGCATCAGGCAAGGCTCTTGGCCACCTGGTTCTGTAGATATAAGTTGCCGGTTTCAACAAACTCTCAATGTCCATTCTATGCAACGTGAAAGTGACTGCCATGAAACGTAGTAACAGAAGCCAACGGTTGGCGAAGACTGATCGAGAGGCATGGTAATGAATTCGACGCTGCAGCCTAACAAGGAAATGAGACGGAATTAGGCAGCGAGATAACCGAGCCATTCGAGGGAATCAAACACTCCTAGAATTTATGTGCAGCGGAGCAGGAGAATGGTTCTGATAGGTTCTAGGTAACTCTGTTACTACGTAGACAATACTCGTGTGTTACTCAGTGGAAAGAATTGCCCCAAACATCCCATCATATGGGCTTGCAGCCAGGCGGAGGCTTCGGTTCCTAATTGCCCTTTCTGGTCACGCCGACCTCGTTCCAGGCATTTCTCACGATCTTGCCAGCCTCATCTCCATAAAGCTCCTCCGCGATCTCCGTTGTGACATCGGCAAACTGGATAAAGGTGCACTTAGGAGGGACGCGACCCGAGTTCATGGTCTTCCACCAGATGGGACCAGCCTTCTCGTACGAGAACCCGCCAAAAGCCTTTGCCGCAAGATAGAAGGCCTTGTTCGGAATGCCCGAGTAGATGTGGACACCACCGTTGTCCTCGAAAGTTGGGACGTAGTCCTTGAAATGGGCTGGCTGAGGATCCTTTCCGAATCGCGGATCGTCGTAGGCAGTGCCGGGCTCTTTCATGCTCCGCAGAGCAACGCCCTTGACACCGGGCATTATGCAGCCTTCGCCAATGAGCCAGTCGGCACTCTCTACAATGGTTGTTAGTAATGTCAACATCGTGATGGGCGATTTTAACCTACCGGCATCCTCCTTTTCGACGATCTGCTTCACGATGATGCCGAATACGTCGGAAACATGCTCGTTGAGGGCCCCGCTCATTCCCTGGTAATCGAGAGGACTGGTGTGCTCCGTCACCGCGTGGGTGAGTTCGTGTCCGATGACGTCGATGGTGCCGGTGAAGTTACTCAGGAACTCTCCGCCGTCTCCGAACACCATCTGCATACGCTCGGGGTCCCAGACTGTCGTTTGCTATTAGCGTGGTCCTAACAGCGTGAAAGCCGATGATGGTTAGGGGAATGGGGGAAGGGGGAGGGGATAGCCTAAAGTAAGTGGAACAAGAAGAGCACTTACATGCGTTCTCGTACTTCTGACCGAAGTGGACGGAGCTGATGACATGCATGTTCTTGTTGTCGATGGAAGTCCAGTCAAACCTTTCCTTGTACATCTTCAGTACCTCGCCAACGTTGTCAAACGCATCATTGACTGCCTTGTCGTCGACGGCTTTCTGGCCCTCTACACGAACCACGTCGCCAGGCAACTTGGTCTCGTCCTCGGTGTTCTTGGCGTTATAGATAGCTCGATAGAACTTGTCGTCCTTGGGAGCTTTCTTGCCGGCAGTGGCAGCGAGGGTGATCTGGCCCTGAAGACCCTCGGATTCGCCTTGCTGGACCTGCTGAACCTTTTGTTGAACACCTCTTATGTGGTCAAGATCCCTCTTGGCGCAGGCTCTGGTGTCATCGTCAACATCCGTCGAGTCGGCGATGTGCTGGAGCAAAATATCGGGAACGATGGAAGGGCGGGAGCGGGAGGAGAGTTGGTGGCGCTGGGCACGAGGGCCACCGAGAATGGCGAGTCGCTCAGCACGGCGGGTGGTGAACAGCTCGCGGAGGTTCAAAGCCTGTCTCGCGGCATGACGCTCATGCTCACTATTGCACTCGGCGTTGGCGATGGCCTTGAGCAGGTGGGGAGGAACGACATAGCAGACGTGGCCGGCCATGATAAATGACTAGGTAGTATCAAAGTTTATCTGGGAAGACGGGAGTAGGCAGTGAATGTCTCGGTAGGAAGACTCTGGTAGAGAGGCTGTGAGATTGAAGATGAGAGGATGTAAAGAGAAGTGTGGGATGTTGGGGGTTGAGGGAGGATAGAGATGAAGAAGAGGAGTCAGATAGTATGGGGAACGTCGGGGAGGATGACTTCTTATGGGAAGTAGCTCGGTGAGGAGTTAAGGGGGAGTGTGAGGAAAGGTGGCCTGGTGTCTGCCTGCCTTTCTGTTGCCTGCCGTGTGTCACTTCGAGACTTGCTGAAGACGTGGTCTTAGAACGAGGCAAGTGCAGGTTTCCAAGTTTGGGAATTGGATCCAGTTGATGGGCGCCAGTTGGTGTTGTTGCTCAGCCTTGGAGAGGCAGCCATGCAATGTAACCTTCATGGGATCTGCTGTCTTATCGCTGGCAGCTTTGGCTGGCCCTATCAGGACAGAGAAAGCCAAGACATGGCGATGCAGCTGTCGTCCAAACACCAATGTGATTGCGTGACGGGGGTTAGAGCTGTCCCGATTGGGCCGGCGTTCTTACGTTGGTACCCCTCTTCTCATCGGACAATCCACTTCTCCATCACGAATCCATCATGGGCTTTCCTGCGTAAGCCATGGAGCACGTACAGGTAAGCTAGAGAAGGTGTATGTCTTGGAAGGAACCTATAAACAGTGTACCTAGGTATCCAAGTTTTCACTGAAAACTTTAATGTCACTTTTTCAGGTCTTAGAAGTGTGAAAGGTAGACACGTCGAGAGGCAGTGAAGAGCCAGAGTTGAAAGTGAAAAACGATGCGAAAGCGACCAGATGGCGACCACCTAAAGTGCCGATAAGATAAGAGCTCCATATACCTAGGCGCGGGACTGGGGCGCAGCGGGTGTCACCCACATGCCGTAACCAGGTGTTCATGTCCAGGGGACGTGTAACTTGGTAAACGAGGTAGGAATGTGGCACAGGTGGTAAGAGTCGACGGGAGGTGAGACGGCAGATCAAGAAAAGCTTTCTTGGAGGCTGAAAGGTACTCGGAGCGTTTGCCTGTGGCGTCTGGAGTCCATCCGTTTGTTGACTTACATGCCGTTGCACGAGTGCGCCCTGTCTCACTCGGGTCCACTATCTTGGTGCATGTGTCGCTCGACGTCATTCTCCCCGTCTCACAAAACCTTGAAAATGGAGGGCAAAGCTTCGTCACTTGACGTTGGGTACGTACGAGACTCGGGGCCAGACAAATCGTTTGGCTGACGATTCTTTCCAGTTAAGAACCAAATTACCGAATCAGTCACGTCACGCCAGTCAGAGCGTAGTTCAGCTGCGCAAGGGAAAGCTGAAAAGGTGCAGAACTTCAGGCGGGTGTTAGTGCAGATAAGGTACCTTAAGGTACCTTACGTTAACTTGAGGACCCACTCCTACTGCGGGGACTGCCGGCGTCAACCCGGGCCGCAGATCGTAAGTGCCGGCTGAGCCCCGGCCAGCCCCGTTTCCCCACTAGAGCCTTTGGCGCCGACTTTACTTTGCACTTGAGCAATAAGTGCATAGAGGGAACGCTGTGCTATCTTGCTTACTCGTACGCTCATCCCGATGTGCCTTTGATGTAAGTAAGCAAGGCTCTGGCAAATGAATGCCACCAACATGCTGTGCTGAAGTGTAAGCGGGCATCGTGTTACCCCGTGGGAGGCAGACGACTTTTGTCTTCCATCTTTCTGATTAGAATGAGCCGCATTGGAAGACTCATGTTCGGTGTGGGTGGAAGTAACATCCCTCATGTGCAATGAATCTGATCTTCAAGGTAGGTGCCTTGTAGCTGGGCGAGGAAGGCAGCTTAGAAGGGGGAAAGATTAGGCAAGAAGCGCACCTGCCTCGTCATCTTCATCTTTGGGGACATAGTTAAGCGACAGAGCTTTAAATGCTCGAGGAAGGAGAGATGCCGAATGCCCCTCGAGGCTTCCATAAGTGATCTCGAGATCAAGGGGTTGCCCTTCAGTTCTCCCCTTGTTTTCCATCTATCGACGTCGATGCAATTTTTCAATTTCGATTTAGAATATACCCTCATCCGAAATCTGAGCGCACTACGCTGTAGTAGCAAGCGGTCAAGCGTTTAGGATGCCTCCTCTTCTCACCTCCAATCCAACACCCTCCAAGGGCTCTAGTTCTCAAGCTCAGTCCTCAACGCCAGCTTCTCGGCCCTCGCAGAGCACACAAGCCTCAAGGAACTCCAAGAAAGCAGCAGAACTTTCACCAGAGCACCATGCAATCATGCTCCGTCACGCGCTCTCCTCCCCAACAATCCGAGCCCTAACCTCTCTTCCTCGCGGCCCACCTCCCGAGGAGATCCTGCGCTGTGCTGCCTCCGCAACAGAGTTCCTCTCCTTCACCTTCAACCCCCTGGAAAAAGTCGCCTTCTCCCATATCAACAACGGTCCCTCCGCTCGCTGGCCCCTGAAAGAAAACCTCGCTAAGCCCTGGCACAAAGTCTTCCTCGTCGCCCAGTGCGAAGCCTCGGGCGGCGACTACGGCGATCGGCTCTCCCTCCAGGCCCGTCAGAAGCTCTTGTTGGACAAAGCTCGCATCGTCAAGATCCTGGGCCAGATTCTCCGCGCCTGCGCCGACATCATGGGTTGTCGCAAAGACGCCGTTGGCCTCAGGCGTTCCCTCGAGACCTGGCGTGCCGTCGTCTCCAAAAGCTAGGAGGGGATGACGACGGAGCTGCTGCAGGTACCCGAAATTGGGCCCAAAAAGATGGCTTCACTCGTCGAGCACGGCGTCAGAACCGTCCGCCGACTTGCTGAAATGGACTTCTTCCACATCGAGAGGGTACTCTCCCGGAACCCGCCCTTTGGTCAGAAGATTGTGCGCAGCTTGGCGCACTTCCCGCGCCTCGTACTCGCTGTTGACATACCTCAACACGACGAGGGGCCGGTGAACAGTATCATCGTCCGCGCCATCCTGTGTTGTTCGAACCGCGAGGCTCCTATCTGGAAGGAGAGAGCGCCTTGGGTCACTTTGGCGGCTGAAACCTCGGATGGTAGACTGGTCTTTTTCTAGAAGGGAAAAGTTAAGAGCCTGATGCCGAGCAAAGACCTTGTGTTCACTATCGAAGCAGCAAAAGGCGAGAAAGTGTTTGTGTGGGCGAGTTGCGAGGAGATTGCCGGAACTTATGTGACGGGCGAGGTAACCGTCTAGACTTTTGTGGCTGGAAGTATTTGATCTGTGGCTTTTTCTTGGAAGGGAGCCTGTTATTGCGTCAATGTTTGTGGAAGAGATCCTAGGACCGTAAATTGCTAGACAATGAACACTCGAACCCCGGCAATTATCCCGCTTCGTCGTCAACTATTCAACTACACAGGTCACATCATTAGGCACTGCCACGGATAGATCTGGTTGTAACGATGTAAAGCTCTTATTCGACGAGCGGCTAGCGCTGCACTACTCATCAGCAGCATGCAACTGCTAGCCTCTGCAATATGAACACTCGCTCTCTCGACTCCCTAACAGGGGCCTCAGATATACAATGCACCGTTGCCTGGACCTTACGGTCTGGCCGGGTATCGCTGTTGATGATACTGTGTGGTGTGTGGGTGGTTTGCTCACATGCAAGCCGGACTCTATTCCAGGACTCGATGTCCAAATATTCCGGAGCATGCCACCCAAGAGAAAACAGAAAGGTGCACAAAAAACGAAACCCCCCTCCAATCCTTTTTATTACCCGGCCTTTTGTTGCTCGTCATGGTACTCCCCATCCGATCCCCCAACTCGACTCCGGTCAACGAGTAAACGTTAAAACATTTCGAAATGACGTCATTGAGGCGACGATGTCGTGCAAATTAGTCGTCGCGGTTCTTGCCTCTAGCTGATGGCGCTCGGTGGTGATGCAGCATAGGCGACGATGGCCTAGACGTCGAAAGTCCCATACTGCGGACCGCATCGAGCGGGTCAAGGTTAAGCTTGGTTTCGTCGGTGACGGCTGGCGTGTAGGCCGGGTCAACCATTGCCTTCTCGTAGCTGGCAATCGTAATCGGTGGCGGGCGGCCCTTGCGATCGGGAATGCTGTAGATGTAGGTCGCGACAAGAACCAGCGCAGTGCCGGCAATGAACTGAGAGTGTGTCAGACATTAACGAGTTGTGGCAGACTGCGGAAATTCACTTACGGTGAAGTTGACTTCAAAGTTGAAGAACCAAACGCTGAACAGAAAGCTGATAACGATGCTGATACTCGCGGCGAAGTTCTTTGCAATATTGTCCGCATAGTTGATGCACAGCGACGCAAGCACGCCACCGACAGCCTGGAATACAATTGCGGTCCATACGACCCAGTTGTAGCCTTCAAAGAAACCGTGCTTGGCAATGTCCTCCGCGTCGATCAATATGACACCGGCCATAGCAGGGAACAGCGAGTAGAACGAGAGCTGTATGTTGCGCGTCCACACAGAGGCATGAGTTCCCGATTCCTTGAGCATCTTCTCAAAGTAGACTCCGGCAAGACCTGAAGCGACGGCTGCGACGAGCACAGCGGTCAGTCCAATCGAGTAGTTCATGAGCGGCGACGGGTCTTGGTCCTCTTGGATACCCTGGTACGAGGCCGACCGCTTCACGATTTCTCCGCCGACGCCCGCGAGACCGTCCGCGGCCCGCTTGGTAAGCTCACGGGCCACCTCGGCCGCGCCCTCGGCAGCTTGACCAAGCTCGTGCACGGAGCGAGGAAAGAAATGGTCTGTGGTGTCGTGTAGGAGGATACTGGCCGAAGTCGACTCGGCATGGCTCGCGGACCCAGGTTGGGGAAGAGAGACAATAGATACACCCAACGTCAAGATGATCAAAGAGATCCAGCGCTTCATGCCGAGGGCGCGGCGAAGCATCGTAACGGAAAAGACGGCGGTCGTGAGAATCTGCGGCAAGCATGTGATTAGCATTCATCTCCCGGAAGACAGATAATCAGTCCGTAACTGCGCACCTTGAGCTGGTATAGCACTTGGAAGTGAACTGCATCCAAGTTTCCAACAGCGACGTATTGCAACGTATTTTGCAGCGTGTATAGTGTTGCTGGAATCGCGAGCTTCCACCCATCGCCCGAGAACACGGAGTTGAAGATCTGCTCGAAGATAACGGTGGCCGGCGTTGACGGTGCTAATGTGCGCGAAACCTCTGCAATGGAGCAGGTCAAGCAAATGGATAGCTTGATCACTTCATTGAGGAAGACTGCGGTGGATGTGAAGTATCGGTGGTCGCCCACAGGAGGCATGATGCGAGAGTAGTGCATGATCTACCACGGCCGAGTCAGCGCTGGTCTCTAGAGATCGCGACGACAAGCAGACTTACCAGAATCAATGCCGAGTTTTGGAAAGTGAGCTATGAAGCGAGGCCATTATCAGCATCCGCCTATACAGAGGAGAGCCTTTGCGCAAGGCAATGCTTAATGCGAACAGTCGTTGAGAGCGTACCGTAATGAGGGAAAGTTGCTTCATGCCCATGCCGAAAAGTGTCGGCCCCCCCGCCGGCGGCGCGGCAGCGTCGAGGAGAGCCATTGTGGCTGATGCGAAAGGAATTGAGGTCGTCAAAACGTGGAAAATAGCAATTGGCTGTGGTAAGGCTGGTAGACAGATGTTAAATTCGTGCGATGTGTGCTGTTCTCCCCGAAGTTTTGGGGGTCCTGTTTCGTCGGGTATTTTTGAACCGCTGATAATTCGTCGCGTTTAAAGGGGGGGAACAAAGTGGGTGGTGTGGGAGCTAAGCTGAAGCTCTCCCTTTTTTGACCCTATTTTTTTTCCCCTTCCCGTCTCGTCGTAGGTAGGTAGGATGTTGCGTCAAGACAGCGAATCGGGGTAGAGGGATGGTGGTGATCTGGAGGGGTCTGGAACAATGTCAGAGCGGCGGCGGGCAGGTAATACGGTGGGTTGTATGGATCGCGTGGCAGCAGGTAGTGGCGATTGGCAATGTGAAGCTGCCGGGTGGTGGAAAGATGCGAATAGCAGGAAAGGAAGGGAAGGGGAAGATTGGAAAAAGAAGAAGAGAAGGGTTGCATTGAAGCCGTGGAAGAGGGTTCGAAAGTGTGTCGCGTTTCTCAATGCCCCAGGATGGGACGTTTCTGGCCCCCGTCCAAGCAAGAACAAGTGCAAGCAAATCTCTAGGTGCGTCGCTGCGACTGTGTGTTTCCTCTGCTTGGGATGCGCTGTCCGTGACGCAGGTACGCAGGTCCCTTCCTTCCCTGACTGGGTGAGGCGGCCCCTGACGTAAGGGAAGAGCAAGGGCAGGCAGGAGCAAGGGGGTGGTTTCCGCAAGGCAAGAGCACCTCAAGTCGCAGGTGCAAGTGCAGCGCAGGCAGGTGCCGCGGTGGAGTCACTACCTACCTAAGGTACCTTAAGATAGAGGAAGACTGGGCAGTGGGCAGCGGGCAGGCAGGAGCAGGACGGGAAGGGGAGGAAGGGGAATGGAGAAGGGGGAAGGAAAGAATGGCAAGGGTACGTACCCCTTGGTCTGGTCTCTCGTCTCTAGGTCGTCTCTCGTTTTTGGTCTCTCCTTCCAGATTTCTGCAGGTGTGAAGGGCGGGCAGGTGCAAAACACCAAATGCCAAGGCAATTGTAAGATGCAAGAAAGAGGAAGAAGAAGAGATGCAAGTGCGCCTGAGATGAAGTCTGTTCTCAAATGGCCGTGAATGCTCTGGGCCTCTCACTCGTTCTCAATTGGTGATTTGTGAAAAGTCCGGTGTCCGATGTCTCCTGCAAAACCATGTGCTCTTGCTCAGTCAGTCAGAGCCTGTCCGTGAGTGAATCTGGCAACCTCTACACAGTAGAGTACGTGAGTGAGTACCTACTAGATAGTAGAGAGTTGAGACCACCTCACAACAGCAAGTAACCCGGAACAAGGGACAGATACTCGGATCTCCGTATCGCGACAGCGCCAAATCCAAGTATTGGTGACTTGTTTGAAACCACGTCTCGATGTCTGGCCGCCCCCCTTCCTCGGTTAGCATGAGCAAAAAAAAACTTGGGCAGAGCTTCAGCTTCCACGGCCTCCCATTCGTCCATCGTCCCTCGCCTCGCCTCACCTTTCACAACTCTCAAACTCTCCCTGATGACAGTTGCGGGATTGCCTGCAAATGCCGCCCTCCTAACCATGCGATGCGCGGCGATACACCTCAGAGACGCCTAAGAATCAGAAACACGTACCTCAAGCTGGTCGCCGTGAAGGCATCCACCCTGTTCTGCTGGGCAAGTCGATGCGAGAGGAAACACTTGAACCACCAGACCCCAAGGCTTGCCACGTCTTTCCGCTGCTGCTATCCCAGTTTTGTTTGCCCGGATCCTCGTTTTTGCGATTTCTGATGCACCTAGAGATGCAGAGCCGCCCAATATCGGTCGGAGTCCCTTGGTTTTCAGTCCGATTCGAATCCGCTCAACCGCCCGAGCGTGCCGCCGTGCCGTCCAAGCCCGCCCGTCTACCTCTCGGAGCGTCTGCCACGACGCCCTTTCCCGCTTGTGCCTAGGTGCCCAGATGCCCAGATGCCCAGCCTGCGGGATGGACGATTGCTGGAGTCTTTTGCCCGGCTTGCAGATCAACGACTCATCGGCCACGCTCACAGTGGAGGGACCTGAGCTGAGGCCTAACTCGCACGCAATTCCAGACGGGTCCAGCGCACACAAATCAGCATCACAAGAGGCACTGTACAGTGTAGGCGGACGATCAGCGATGCGATGACAGGGATCACCTGTTTTCGGCCCCCTTTTTCTCTTGTTCCTGTCTCTGCAACCTGGCTGCCGTCACTGATGATCCGGGGAAGCTGCTGGGAAAGCCGTCTCGGTTCCTGGTCGATGCATGCACCAAGAAACAGTCAAATTGTTTCCTTCTCTTCGAATGCAGTCCTCGAGATCTAAGCTTCTATATATGCCATCGTCGACTTATCCAATCTTGCGCCATCTTCACTGACCACCTTCAGCCCTTCACGAGATCAAAAGCTCACCGTACAAGTAACTAGCCCCGGCCCAGGGCGGGGAAAGCTCCCCATAGTTTTTGCGCCTCCATGCATAGTGAACTGTCCCAGCTGGATCTGGGTCCAGCATGGCGTCACTTGGCACTTGGCCGGATCACCACTTTGATTTTTGGGCAGAGACAACCTCATAACCTAATAAGCTTGGAAGCGCCATCGAGACATTCTCCCCTAAAGCGAGACACGCTACTCCAACCGCGTTTACAGCTTCCGCCCCCCCGCCCCTCAACACAACGCCAATCACCATCTAGATAACTCCATGTCCCGTGCGACTCCGCCGCCACGTCTGGTAATGCCTGGCCCCATGACCCGCCTGAGGTTGACCGCCAACGTCACCTTGTGTGAAGTTGAAGGGGGTGAAGTAGCCAGGAAGGTTGGGTAGGGCACATCACGCGGGGCCCATTCCATGATTTTCAGACGGTGCATCCTTCACGTCAAAAGAAACCGCGTCTGACACCTGCCAATGAGTCGGGACGGTCCAACGTTGAGGCTTCCCACGGATGGTCGCCACGGAGGCTGGAATGCCTTAGTGCGATCCCAATTTCAACGCCTGCCCCGGATTCTTGCATCGCAATTGGCTTGTTCCAGACGTCCATCGTCCCTGTCCCAGGTGAGGTGATGGTCGAAGGTTGTCTACTAATGAATACTCCGATGTTCGGTCCGGCGAAGGGATGGCACACCGCTCCGACATCTTCGACGACTGATGTCGGATGGCTCATCGTCAAATGAGGCTTGTCGCAACGCTGTGACGACGATAATGCTCATCCAGTGCTTCTGAACGCGAATTCACGTTCAAATCAAGTAAAGAATACCCGTTTTCGTCTCACCACCAAGAAACCCGCATATTGTCTCAAGCTCAATTGCAGAGCTATACTACGCCCGAAAATGAGCGACGGAGAATACCGACCGATACCTTCATTCATTCATCATCACTGATACCTTACATTATTGGTCTTATTGGTCATGACGAGAAGAGTATGCTGAAACTTTTGAGCGGTACCGTGAGCACATTTACGGCAAAATAGTCTACTGTAACTACTCATTTGTACCGTATCTCACAGTTACGTTGCATCAATTTCCTGAGAAGATGCCTGCATGCCGATTCTTGGATGCTCAACGCTCATGCAGCCGATAGGATCAGTCCCGTGTTGTTGTATCTATCAACTTTTCAACCTTGATCTAGCCTTGCTACACTCATCGCCCAACTTCTTCATATAGGCTTAGTTCAGTGACTGAGACTCCGGGGCAGCCCGTCGATATATTTGGAGTGTGCCAAGCGACACAGAGGTGATGTTCCTTGCGTACACTCTAGCCAGCCTCGTGGTGGACAAAATTGGTATATCAATCGGATTAGATTCGTTGCTTCTCACCCGCTCTAATTCCCTCCCATGGGTGTTTGGTCTAAGATGGAAGTCGTTTTTCATCGGCGATGATAGACAAAGCTAAGCAAGTTCCTCCTGGCATAGCCGTGACTAGTGTCGTTGACAACAACACTCACAAACACTCTATCTTGTCAACTGGCTGCTTCTGGGCTAAAAGTTCTTCACGATCACACCTGCAGCGACATGGGGTACCGGCGAGAATGACCCCCTACGTCTTGGCCCTGCATGAGTTAGCCGAGGTATAGATACTCTGTCACCTCTTCAAGAGATCCAACACAGATTCGACCGCCCACCCGCGAGACTATTACGGTTTCGCTGCGTATGACAGGCAACATCACACGAAGGAACATGTCACCATCCATGGCTTCATATTTCTGCTTACGTAGGATGGCTCGCAGCCGGTTATTCCGTCAGTCTCAACCAACTGCGAGACAAAATCGGCGCCCAGCCGTGGAGCAATGCCCCAATGCCTCATCTGTGGCTGCTTACTCTCGGTCGAAGCCGGATTTGATAGGACCATGCGGCTTTTGCAGCCGTCCCTTGCAGTGAAGAATGGGGTTCATCAGCATTGCACATGCGGGTAAGATTTGAAGTTGCAACATGCAGATTATTATTCTGCAGTCAGCGCGAGGTATCTGCATGCTACTCGCGGTTTAGCTACCAATCCAACATAAAGTCCCAACTGCCCCGTTGAATTGACTCATGGTTTTGTTTCCTGCCAACGACATCCTCGGCCTGAGCTGAAGATCGACTCCAAATCAGCGAAACGACATTCAAGCGAAGCCATGCGAAGTTCTAGACTTTTCGCAGCGGCTGCCTTTGTAGCTAGCCACGCCATCCACGTCTCCGCGGCTGACATCAGTCCGACAGAGCCTGCCAACTTCAATGTTGTCGATGCGCTTCAGGAGCTAGGCATTGTAGTTTCCGAGATTCCAAACCTGTCCGGCTTCAACAAGAGGTCAGAGATAGGTTGCTCTGCTGCGGTAAGCCGCCTACCCTTCGCAATACCGCTCTCAAGGTGACTGACATTAGGTTTCTGTTGTAGTGTGGCACCTTGAAGTTTGTCTATGGCGATGATGCTGTCGAAACGAGGAATGAATCTGCATACACTGAGTTCGTCAGCTCATACTGGTCTGGGAATCAAGCCCAGGTTAGCCCTTATTGTGTCTTCAAGCCGTCGAGGCCGGACCAGGTATCTGTCGTGGTTCTACTCTCCCGTCTTACGCAGTGCCCATTCGCTGCCAAAAGCGGTGGCCACGCTGCAATGGCCGGCGCATCCAACGCTCAGGATGGCATCACCATCTCTTTCCAGAATATGAAGAGCATCTCGCTGTCTGTCGATAAGAAGATTGCCTCGATCCAACCAGGTAACATCTGGGGCGATGTCTACCGGGAGCTCACAAAGTCTGATCTCAATGTTATTGGTGGTCGGATATACGACATCGGTGTTGGAGGGCTTACTACTGGAGGTAAGTTTTCGGCCGAAGAGTTGTCAAGCGTAGAACGGCGCAGCTGATGGAATGATAGGCGGCATTTCGTACTTCTCTAACCTTTACGGCTGGGCCTGTGATAACGTCGAAAGCTACGATGTAAGTTCTCTGTGGCTAAAATATAAGCCCGAGCTGACATTGACAGGTCGTCACCGCCACAGGTGTTATAATCCGAGCATCGGCCACCCAGTTCCCTGACCTGTACTGGGCCCTACGCGGCGGCGGCAACAACTTTGGCCTCGTCGTGAGCTTCAACCTCCGGACCATCTCGCTTCCAGGCGGCAAGATGTGGGGTGGTTCCCGGACCTACCTCGAAGATTCATTCCCTGCGCTCTCTGGGGCTTACGCCAACTTCATTGCCAACGCGGAAAAGGACCCCAAGGCCGGGTTGTGGCACGTATACGCCTACTACAACGGCACCAAGCTCTCTCTTCCGACACTCTATTACGCTGAGCCGGACGGCGGAGAGGCCGACATCTTTTCCGAATGGAACACTATTCCTGCCATCTCGGATACGACGCAGAACCGAATCATCGCTGACTGGGCTGCGAAAGGAGCCGAGGATTCACCGCCGGGCCCGCGAGAGATTTATGGCGTCATTAGCAGCGAAGCCGATAAGGAACTCGTTGATGCCGCGCAAGAAATCTACTTTGAAGAGGTCCTTGCCGTGACGGATCTGCCCGGCGTTATTCCCTCTCTCGTGTTCCAGGGCATCACTGTTCCGATGCTGAAGCACATGCAGCAGAACGGGGGCAATGCGCTGGGTCTTGATGTCGAAGATGGCCCGTTCTATATTATTCAGTTAGCCGTCATGTGGAGCAATGAAGAGGACGATGATGCGATTTACTCTTTCACGTCAACCGTTCTGAAAAGGATCAACGATGAAGCCAAGGCGCGGGGGGTGGCGAACGACTACATCTACATGAACTACGCTGCGCAGTTCCAGGATGTTATCAGTGGATACGGCGCGGAGAATAAGGCTAAGCTCAAGAGCATCGCGAAGAAGTATGATCCCAAGGAGGTTTTCCAGAAGCTACAGCCTGGGTATTTCAAGCTGGACCGGGCCCCAGTTCCGAGTTCCAAGTACTTCAACTGGTAGAATAGATGTAGAGAGGAGCTGGATGTCCGATTTCTTCTTGCTAGACACAACACTGAGCCTCATTGCATAAGTATTCATCTTCACTCATCGTCCCTGGCGGGCTAGTGCCTGTCTTCAAAGTGAATAATTACATATCTTTCGCTAATCCAAAGTGAATATGGTCTATCGCTGTCCAGAACCGCTTCCAAAACATCAAGGTCTAGCAATCTAGCATTCTCAACGAGACTCTTGAAACGTCTGGAAAGTCATATTCGAATCCGACCGTTTCCGCAATATCTTCAACATCCACGGCGGCGCCCTGTCCCTCAAACTCCCACCCCGAATCCTCCGTTCGAGAAGCCACTGCACCGTCATCGTAGCCATTGCGCAGTTCCATACAAACGACACAATCATGCCCAAAGAGAAGAGCAACGACGAAGAGAGCGTGTTTGTGCCGCAAATCGTCATGATACCAAAATCGTCGATGCCGTCTGGAAGGGCAAAGCCCGAGATGAGCAGGATGGCTTGGCAGACGAGGAAGTCGAGGGCATTGAAGAACTTGAGGCGGCGGTACATGTAGAAGGTTAGGTCGGGGCGGGAGCTGAGTCTTTTTTGGTAGAGGTAGAGAGGCACTGATATTGCGGCTAGGCCGATAGTGATATAACCGATGATCTAGGAGAGTTCGGGATTAGATGGTGACTTGGAGTCTTGGGAGTCTTCGAAGAGGGGTGGCATACTCCGTGCTCTGTTCTTGCGTGGTCTGAGGTTCCCATTGCAACTATCCCGGTAACGAGTCCGGCGGTCGATAGTGGAGCGAAGAGTAAGACTGTGAATATTGTCTGCCATCGTTGCAACTTTCGTTTCGTGGGCTCCTGGAGTGCGCGGTCGATCATGATGCACAAGTTGGGCGTCGATGCCAGTACCAAGATGACGGGGTAACAGAAGAAGAACGCCGCCGTCATGCATACAACTAAAACATGTCAAATACACGTGATAGACTTCAAGGAGCAGGGGTTAACTCACGATGCACATATGTCAATAACACGAACTCATCCTCACCGACCCCATTAACCTTATATGTGTCATCTGAGAAGTCAATAGAGAAGGCGTTGCCCTTGCTGGAAACGTTGAGCGGTATACATGTCGGTATAGTGACGTTGAGAAGGGGGTTGGCCGAAATGTTCCTCTGAAGTAGTTCGTGTAGCCCTGCTACACCCTTAATGATCCAGCAGTGATCAGTCGTTGATAGATCGTTGAAGTGCTCTTGAAGAAAATCGGTTATATAAAGCTCATCCCAAGGACTGAAGGGGCAGTCTCGCCGTATAGGAAGTATCGTATCGTTGGTCTGCCGATGGTACAGAGGTAAACTTCTGGTCAGATCAGGATTCTCGGGGCTGCCATCTGAAGATAGTCTAGCATCTGCAAGTGTAATGCTAAATAGCAGTACCCCTAGTAACATCTTGCGTGAATACATGATTCGACGGTGGTTCGATGACAGAAGAAAAGCAAACGAGGTTTCCCTCATGAAGTCTCCGGGGTAGTGGTAAATATGATAAGCTCCCCGCGGAGCCGTCGGCAGGTCCTCTCGGCGAAGGTCTTCCCGGTCGTTACCAGAATGACGAAAACTTGAGGCTGAACTTCAGGGGGGTTTTGCACTGGGAAAATTTGCCTCGTTGTGAGGCCTGACCAGCGAGTTAAGGTTTCGTCTCATTGTCCGACAGAGTCGGAATCATCGTACACTCGGATCCGGTGGAGACTCGGGGGCCCGCGGAGGTGCTGGCGTTGCAGGGCCACCCTTGCTAGCGCTGTCCATCACCTTGTAAGGTAGTCTATCCGTACGGCAGTGGAAACGGCTATCAATATGTTTGAGTAATGACATAGACCTATATACTGTACGCTTATAGATATTTGTACTCCGATAATGGGGACTGTGAAGACGTGTCTTTCCTGCGCCACTGCTGTGATCGAAACACAAAAGCTCCGAGGATCTGAAAGCCGTATTAAAACCTCCCGAAGATCAGAAGTCGAAGCAATCTGTGACGCTGTCGATCCCGAGCTCGCTCAAAAACAAGCCGCTTACATGAGAAGATGTGGGGAATAAGACGCGGTTCTTCATGTCGTTATCGGTTCTTGGAGATTGACTTTCATCCTCGCCATCATTTCTCGCCGGCCTTGACCTGTCCACACCATGCGAGAGCGTCAAGCCAAATGGAAGAGCGGTTTTCGGCGACGGTTGACCCGGAAACTTTGGTATATCCTGCATTAACTCAGGAAATTGGGCAAAAAAGTCTGGTGCCATTGTCCAAGATCTCAAGTCGTGGATCTTCTCTTTGAATAAAGGCGAAAGGCCATATGTTCCCAGTTGCATGTTCCTGGTATAACAGTCACGAAAATCGTATGGCCATACTATTCGTAAGTGTTCTTTGAACATGTGCCAGAACAGATTGCTACAGTACCGGTGTGGCGCTACAGCGAATCGGTACCTCAATGCTGGCCTTTAAGGTTCTCCAAATAAGCATTTTATCCTTTACTGAGACTTGAGTCAACTTACCAGGCGAAGTAATCAGCTGATGGGTCGTGGGAAATCTCTTGCAACGGCCTTTCGGGGTTAGCCAATGCTTGCGTTTAGAGACACAGATGCATTGTACTTACGACTTGAGATACCACATCGGTACGACTGCAGACTTCACCAGCGTCGGATCTGCATATGCCCTCATAAGAAGATGGATAATGAAAAGAACAGCAAGGCGTTCTGCCTGACCACATGCCGAGAAACACAGTTCATCGAGCTGGCGAACTTTCCTCCATAAAGGCGTCATCCTGCCCGAGTGGGCTATGCTGTCCCAGCCGTGAAGCACGGCGTGGACAGGAACATCCTCGATAGTCTCTCCCTCCAGTTGTCATGAAGCGTCGGGGAGAGCAAATGGCTCTTGAAGGATTTCGTTGCCCGCTTTCCAATTGTTGCAACTGACTTGTGAGCCATCCGAGAGTCGTCGGACTCGGGTGGTTGACGAGCAATGGCATTTAGACGCATGTTGTCGGTGTTTTGTGGTGAGTTGCTGCTTCTTCCTTGGGGTGGGTGTATCGAGCGTAACGGCCGTCATCTGTCGCTCATGCGTGTCTTCTAATGGCACAGGCGCTGTGAAGTCTGGCTGAAACATTGAGTCGCCTAGTAGTTGGCTGATGTCAAGAGAAGATTCGTCCATGAAGCTATCCATGTCATCCCCTATTTCCCTCTCAAGAACATCGTCGGTTGAGCCATCAAAGACAGGCGCTGATGAGTATGCTGGAGAAGTTGAGGATCCTGGGCTCGGATGCTTCGGCGAAACTTCTTCAATCAATGGCGGCTTTGGTGGAGAAGGTATGTCACAGACCATCCCCGTTGAACCCCATGATTCGGCCTCCTTCACATGATCGTTAAATAGAGAAGACGTTGTTTTAAGACATCTCATAAGCTTATTCCTCTGTTCAGTAACCTTTGACAACTCCGCCATGAGCGATGCCGTGGTAGCAGTGTCATCTTGATGGCTCAATTTCTCCACCAGGCTCTCGAGCTGAGCTATTCGGTTCTTCGTTTTTTCGCGAGCAACTCTTTGGGCTTTGCGATCGTACTCTCTCTTCTTGAGTCTCTGAGACGTTGCTGCAGTATGTGAAGTCCGCCCCGGCGATCGAGCAGCTGTATCCTGTGTGCATGAAGGCGTCGGCGTGCTCGTCATTTCAAACTATCTTTGAATTTCGCTGATGAATATCATGCAGTGTATGCGACAAATCGAAGTTCACTTGTTACTCAGCAGATGAAGAAGTCGCATGAAACGGTGGGTTCGAGGTGACGTGGGTGGGGTTTGTCCGACAAGTTGTGATGAGAATGCGGGGGAACAAAGACATTGGAGGCGAGTGACCTCGGATCCTCGGTAACACGCGGTACGAGAGGGTTTCCTTTTTTAAACTAATTAAATGACTAGCCACTGATTTTACCAGGACGATTGAATAGTCGCGAACTTTCTCACACACCAGGTCTTTCGTGGTATTTGTACTCTGGGGGATCGTCTGCGGGGCCCCGGACTAACGGATGATCTGCATAGTTTAATAGTCTAAGTAGCTAGGCCTTGCTCTGTCCCCTTCTTCTCAGATAGAAGTAGTATGTCCCTGACTGAAGTTCCTTATTGTCCATAGCACCGACCACCGTGTTTTCGTCGACATAGCGGAACGCGTCAATGATGGGGAACTTGTCATACACCATTGCTGCGGTTACAACACCCCTGAACTTCACCTCTCGGACCTGGCATGTCACTTAGTAATATGTTCAATAACAAGTACTAGCCCGAAATGGGTGCACTCACTCGCGCATGGCCATAATCAGAAAACCATGTTCGTTTGCCGTCTTCCTCGTATCGCATGATTGGATCTACATCATCGACGGACCGGAAGTCTTTGCCCGCCCATTTGAAGTTGCGAAGTTGCAAGTGGGTCGGATGTCCCGTGTCGAAACTGCCTCCTACCCACTGGCCAACTAGGAGCTCTGGGGCGACAGCCTTCAGCTGATCGTAGACGCTTGCGATGGTGGCCTCCTCTACATGGCCTTCGATCTTAGCGAGTTCAGCAAACTGTTGTTCGGGTCTGTATAATTGGTGAGAATTCATCAATATCTAGTTGAGATTGGGGTCTTAGCGCGAACGTTGAAGCCATCGTAAAGGTCGTCTTTCGGAGGGGTTGCAGTATCGGAATCTTGAGGGAATGTTGCCTGTCACAGTTCTTCAAAGTTCACATACTGCGTCTCTTCATTCCTATTTATGCAGATATTGGACTTGAATACGCTCATCGTACTTGGTGGCAATATCTAGGAGTATGATATCTACGTGGTAGTGAACCGAGGATGCGAGTCAAAAGCTCGTCCCCACCCTTGACTCGAGTCTGCAGGTTACACTTGGAACGACTTTGGCACTTTGCAGAGTGCCACACAAACATTCATTAAACGGAACAGTCCACTCACGTAAACCCATCAGTTAAACTTCAAGTCTCGGCTATTTGATTCTAAAATGAAGAAGATGGGCATTTGTCACCCTCTGGGAGATGCGTAGATTTATGGGGTTGCCTGCATAATGCTTCAAGGATGAGGCGCGAGCCAAGTAGGGTGTTAATGTTGGTATTCCTATCACAGGGATGGTTCGAACCGTGGGTGACGAAGAGGTCAAAATCTATATATATATAACTTCTGCGTAAGGTGTAAAAAGGAGGTTCTAACCGGAGGTTGGATAGACCGTAGATCTCGTAAGTATGGTCTGTAAGTGGCCCCTGCGCGGGCCCCTTGCCTCGAGGTCGAATTGGACTTCCAATCCGACAGTTAATGATATTATGATATCACTACATGTAAAGTAGATATGGCCTGTAATAGTGTCTCGGGTGTGAATGAATACAAAGTACAATTGAGCTGCCGAAAGACTAAAGGGATCTTTCCAGACAAGACCACTGGATCGAATGACTCAAAAGAGACGCTTAGAAGAATGATTGGAAGCGCTTGTTGGGATCATAACGACGTCGTATTTCCACCAATGTCTCAAAATGGTCCCGGTATACCTACACATTTGTCAGCAGAGCAACCAGAGACTAAAACTTTCTGCTCCGAGATAGAGTATGTACTCACCCCTTTTGCATCGTGATATGATGGCTCAAGACCAGCAGGATTGACTTCTGCTTGAGTTTCTGGGCCCAAAACCTGACTAGGCGCATCGTTGGATATTTGACGAATGATTTTTTCTTGTTCATCTGATCCATTTCCCGGACAGCTAATGATAAATAGCAGCAGGTGATTCAAGTTGTTGGATCGAGGCCAGGCAACCTCTGCTGTACCACCGATTGGGGGTCGCTGAAATTGACATATTAGTACAGGTGCAGTAACTGGGCAAAGCGAGGACGTACGAGCAACAGGAACTCGAAGATGACTGTAGACATATCGTGTATAGATTGGTCTAGTTTCGCTATATTGTCATAAAACTCAATAGCTCGCGTGACTGTGCGGCTATCCAAGTCGGCCACTGCCATGGGCGCGTACAGTGTCTTCATTGTGCCTCGCATCACATTTGCATTTCCTGAAATGAAAGACGCATTAGCGTGGACTACTCTGAGATGTACAATGGTGTCTTACTCTGCATGTCGATGACACCTTTCATGTTGGTAACTCTTGTCCGATCAATTGCCCCGGGTTTCTCAAGGACCCAACGGAAGGTAGCTCGGCCATGCTTCTCACCCAAGGCGTCGTAAAGATGAAAGATGACCGAGTCCTCCACATCAGGCTTAGGGTTCTCCAGAACTGTGTGAAGAAGTTGCTTGGGCATCAAGTACATGAAGTAATTGACCTTGGGATGAGGCATAGAGTGATTGAATTCCACTAGCTCATCAATCATCTGCGCCAAGAGACGCCGCGGCAGGAGCACAATTCCGGACCAGATGTCAGTTGGGTACGGATGTGCGCGGAGAAGAACCTTGGTAACGACTGGATTCCTGTCAGCCAAGAAGAGCAACAACAACAATAACAGTGTGCTTACTGCCGAAGCCACCGCCACCTCCCCGGAGGGACCAGAGAAGATCTGGCTCCCGAGATGCCATGACGACCGTGCCATCGTACTTGACTACCTCTGCGTCTAGGAAGTTGATGGGATCGCTGATACCGCCATACTCGGTGGACATCCAGGAAAGACCGCCATTCAAGATGGATCCTGTGACTCCGATGCTTGGTGTACGGGCCGCCGGCACTGGAACCTGTTAGCTTGGAGAGTATGATACCCTACACAGAATTGTTTTAACCTGAATACTTGGGGTCAACTTGTTCCATGAACCCCACTACTTCTTCCCAAGTCGCACTCGCACCAACTATAGCAATCTTCCTTGTCGAGTCATATTGCAGGCTCTTGAAGTTTAGCATGCTAATGATTACGTCTTTGGCGGAAGGCGACTTGAACCCATGACCTCGGATAGCAAAGTCCAAGCTCGAGGAGTACAAGAATCGTACAATGGAAGAGAGCTCTTCGATGGTGCTTGGAATGAGGACCACCGACGGATAAAGCTGCTTCTGAATAGCAAACGGCTCCGAGTGAAGCTTATATGATGGGTCATCTGTTGTGATGATCGACTTCTGGCTCAACGTCTGAGTCAGGGGTTGTAGAGTAGTGAGCGTCGATGCCTGAGTATCAGGAGACATTGCGATGCTGGCAGTGGATGAGGAGTATGCCTGATAATCACCAAGTTGAAAGTGGGGAAATTTTTCTCTGTTAATAACATGAACCTAGAACTCATTTATACAAGTCTGATGTCATTCTAGAACTCTCATCAACTAGATAATAGCAAAGCTTTGTCCTCTCGGGCCTCGGTTTTAAGCGGAAAGAACCCAGAGGTAAAGACATGGCAGAACAGGAACTGTAGTAAGATGACATCTGCACGATTATTTGATGAGCGTCCAATATTCTTGTTCTCTCGAGGAGTGTAAATCTCAGACGACATACTTATTCGTTGAGATGACGGGAACCCGATGGGGGTGTCCGTAGAGAGCCATGCTGGGCCTCGGATTTTGGAAGGTTGCCGCTACGGGGAATGTGGAAACACCACCTTCTCCTTTTTTATCTCTTACGCTCAAGGTGATGATTGTGCCATACTTGGCATGCTCAAGTCGAGTTGTGATGGCTCGGCGCAATCGCATGCTGAAGTCCGTGACGGCCCGATTCGGCTACTAAGCGGAGAGAACGTCATCAGACGAACCATGAGTAGATGCAAATGCATGTTTTCGAAAAATGGTCAGCACTGTAACTAAGTAGCCCCAAAAAGAAATTTGGCGCCTTTGATTGAAAATCGCTGCTGTGAGTCTCTAAGTGGCTCGCTCGCGACTTCGTCGTCCGTCAAAAGAGCGAACTTGCGAAGGAGGTTGTTGGATTTGTAAGTTCACGAAGATCGAACTGCTTAGTTTGTAAGCCTTCTTTGCCTGGTACGGCTAAAGAAGATATATCTATGCTTCCATTGTTACATAAAGACATGGTCTTTTCTCGCTACAGTCTCCAAAAGTGTCTGCCAGACATCGCAGTACCGGAACTCCAAACGATCAAACCTAAACTTTCCAAGGTGAGCACCGCAACGCCGCAAACTCCTACGGAGGTGTCTCCCCTTCCTTAAGATCTGCGAGGCAAAAATACCCTGGTAACGTAAGCTTCAGGACCCCTTTGTCATCTGGCCCTTGTATCAGGGACTGGCCAGGAGCTTGCTAATGCTGGTGGCAGAGGTGCTTCTCGCGGTATTGGCCGTGCCATAGCTATCCACCTTGCCAGTTGCGGAGCAAACGTTCTGGGTACCTGCGCATCGTCTGGATCACCGAACCTACTCGAATCTCTTAAAAAGACAGTCTAACAGGGCTACCACTCGAGCGAGCTTGATGCCCCAAAGGTGGCCGGATTAGTTGCAAACCTTCTTTTGACAGACCTGGCCGAGACGATCGCCAACAAAGTCCAGGATGAGTTCGATGGCAAGCTCAACATCATTGTCAACCTCGCAACTCAATTTGAAGCGCGGCCCATCCGTGAGCTTGATGCCGAATTCATCCAGAGGGTCTTAGTGGGCAATCTGCAGTCTTTGGCCCTGATGATGGACGCTCTTCTCAAACGAGACTACATACAGCCTGAATCTCGCATTGTAAATATCTCCAGCGATTGGGCTCGTACTGTAGCAGCATCCTAGTACGTTACAGTCAAAAAAGGGATAGCGAGCTGATATTCTAGTGTCGATGCTAACTTTACAAGTGCCATGTTGTACGCATCCACCAAATCAGCAATGGAATCCATGACCAGATCTTGGGCAGATATTCTGAGCCAGGACACAAAGACGTTGGGAACTACAGTGAACTCCCTCTCAGTGGGTGGCACGGCGACGGATGCGCTCACTGGAAGTGCACCTTCGGATATGCGCGAAGCCGCATTGAAAGTTCTGAGCGAGAGAAAATCAATCCACAACGGAGTCGGACTTCCAGAGGATGTTGCCAAAGTGGTTGGTTTGGTCGTAAGCGAAGCAGCACGCTGGATCAATGGAAGTGTCATCGCAGCCAACGGCGGCTCAGTCAAAATTTTGTAAAGACTGAAAGCCATCAAGCTGCTCATAGACTAGCTAGAGTAGTAGGTTATAAAGAAGCTATGCTTTGCAGGTGAAGATATACTGGTGGCGGAATCGAACCGACACTCTGCCTCTAAAGGGAAGTGACACGAAGCATCTTACGAATGCTGTCTCTAGTAGGAAGTTGTAATAGTCTTATGAGCCAAATGTCAGAGAGAGGGGCACCATGATGTTTCGCCATCTCCTTCCATCCATTCCAGACATCCTTCCGCAGCTCCAATTACCATGATGCGCCATATGAGACCTCGACTGTGTCAACCGATACTTCGTAACGAAACAGGATCGCCGCATCCTTCCAAGTCTGCCACAGCTCCATGAGCTTGAGATTTGAAAGGTGAATTGCCGCTTTTGCCGCTTGTTTATCCAAGTCTTGGATGGGATCCTCATTATGCGTCGGACAGCGGATGGAAAACGCGAGGGCCACCGCTACGAAAGATGACCACCGGTCGGGATGTTCCATCATCGGTGGCATGGGTAGTTGTATAACTTCATCGAAGATGTGTGCGGTGTTCGACACAGACCGCGAGCCGAAGGAAATAGACGAGAGCATGCCAGTGCGGCAGCCCGAGCAACATGGCGAGTAGGACCCGGCTCGACGATCGACCCATGGAACTTGTCATGCCGAGTCTCCCATAATTTGACTCTCTTCACTGTAGGCGGAAGACTTTCAAGTAGAGCCACTTTTGCACTGCATCGTCGGACCTTCTCTATCTCGTCAATACCCGGCCAAGGTGTGTAGTCAACGGCCTCCAAATGAAACAAGCTCACCAGAAGATACCGAATGGCGTCTCCTGTAAGACTTCGATAACGTATTTCTCCAACACTGAACGTTTTGACTATCGGAACCCTCGAGATCACAGGGAATTCGGTTTTAGTAAGGCTCGTCAAGCTTGATGCGGAGGTTTCCGTTGAACGTCGAGAACATTCCCTATTGTACCCATTTTTGCCCCCAAGAGGGCAACGGGTCCGAGGCTAAGGTAGGGCTCGTTGCGGCAAGGACTATTATCCCATGGTTAGAATTGGTGAGTTGTTTCGTTGGGCGACATGGCACTAAAGCGGAGGTGAATGCCAGAGTGTTCTTCGTCGCCATAACTTAGTTGCCATCTCGAAAGCGTTCTCAAGAGAGACTTGATGTGGATGTAACAAATTTCATTTTAGTAAAATTTCTTTGCGGCGTCCTCTTCCACGCGGCACTTGGCGCAAGTGTATCCCCCTAATTCCAAATCGAACCAGATATCACTGACGTACATCTGACGACGGCCACTGGCCAATAATTCTTCGAGTGTGTTGATGTCTTCAAGAGATGTGAGCTCCAGTTCCTCGAAGTTGCGCTTCTCGAAGAAAATTTGCCATTCCGCAGAAACGGAGGCTAGGAGGCTTTTCTAATTCGACATGTCGTCAGACAGGAGCTCAAGGACGGTCTCTAGAACAATTGATGCGGAAGGATGGTCCAAACATATGAGGGCTCACTCTGCTGGTGCTCCCTGGGGCTATCGAGGTCTTGTGATTGCTTGACTTTAGGTACAGGCTCTTGACGCTGCCTATCTAGCACTGCATCCTGTGCGTTTCTTTTCATTTTCACGGGTCGATGGATTCGCCAAATAATTGTTCTAGAGAGATTGAAACGGACATTAGCTTTGATCATAACTATGATGCTGCTCAAGGTGTAGAATGACTTGCAAGATATCCGTAGCCTGGTTCATGACTGAGCTAGATACCTTCCGCGGACTGCACCGTCGGATATCGCATGATCATATTGGTGTGGTTTTGCAATGTCGTTGCGACTGATGGTTTGACTGGTGTGCAATATGCCGGTGGCGCGTTTGTCGATCGTACTGCAGTTCGGAGTGAGGATGGTAGTCGATGATTTGGAAGCAATGGAGAGGGATGGAACCCATGGAAACAATCAAGAGGGATGACCGGAAGAAGACGGCTTAACGTTGTCCTATGAAGGTAGGCGCACTCCAGTCGTGATGATGGGATAGTCATGGGGCGGGAAGGAAGAATGTGGAGGCCGTTGGAACCTTACCTTCCGGCCACCACTAACATCGTCGCTTCTGAGCCAACCTTTTTCGCACATCATATGAAGGCAAAGGCAAGAAAGCAAATGCACAAGAAATCCTTGGGTCCAAGCTACGGAGAACTTGCAGCTCTTTGCGTCTTTATCTTTGGTTCTCTACCCTACCACAACATGATAATTATGGTATCCTGACCTCTGTTCCCCGCCCTTTACTTACATAGAAGTTCAACTTTCGGGACTGTTCAATACGTCAGTAATACTTATAGTATCATAGAATCATTCCTACATATAGTTGTGTCACATGAAACCGCGGGACCGAAGTCGTTGACATGGTCTTTATTTCTAGTCTGTCCTCATGCTAAGCTGTGCTTCCAACTTGAGCTTTAACACCGATACCACAGCTTCAGTCGCCTCGCCAATGACCACCAGATCCACCTCGACCACCCCGGCCACCTCGGCCAGCTTGAGCGCCGCCACGACCACGGGAAGGAGTGCCACTGTAGGAACCACCACGACCACGGGAAGGGCTGCCCCCAGAAGGACCGCCGCGGCCTGGAGACGGAGTGCGGCCGCGACCTTGGGAAGAAAAGTCACCAGACGGGCCACCACGGCCGCGGGAAGGAGTGCTGCCACCGAAAGGGCCCCCTCGGCCAGGCGAAGGACTGGGATCGGGATGGCCTCCTTGGTCTGTTGCTCGGGGAGAAGCGCTAGAGATGGGCTGTTGAGAGCCGGTCGACTTTGCCTCGAGTCTCTCGATGAACTTGTTTGGAAGATGTCCCAGCTCGTTCTTCTTGTTCAGCTTATTGATGATGGAATTGCTGAAAGAGAGATACATCTCTGAGAAGTCTTTCCACATGGCTTCAATGTAACCGTCTCCTGAATTCGGTCGGGGGCAGTAGTGATTGGTCTCAATGAACGCCTTGACCGCCTTGTCGATATCCGCGTCGTTCATGGTGATATCATGACAGTCTTCGAAGTCGATCATCCACAACGAAGTGACTCTTCGGCCAAAGTCCGGGGGACTGTGCGTCGGAAGTTCGTACGTGCTGGTCATCGGCTTCAGGTCCAAGATGTCGGCCAGGTGGTAGTCAGTGCGAACGGCTTGCTCTGCAACTGGAGAGCTTCCGATGACGAACTCGACGTCGTTGCCGTCAATCTTGGCGACCCAGTGCAGAACGGCAAGAGCATGAGCCATCCCCAGATATAGATCTGCCGGCTTCATACCTAGGCCCTTGACCTGGTTAGAGTGGAGCTTGAAGTTCCGCAGAGAGAAGAACTGGCCGCCCGTGCCATACTTGATGCGGCCGAGATACGGGCGAACCAAGCAAGCCTTGTTAGCCTCGCTCTTCATTAACTGCTCTCCTCCTTGGGGCGGACAGAACTTCTCGATGAGGATGTGACGGACGGGCTTCGGAAGTGGAAAGATTCGCTCCATACAGAGAATGTGACGGGGCTCGCGGAGGAATTCAGCCGTGTTCGGAAACAGGTCAAGATTGTCTCCCCAAAAGCTCTGGGTAGTCGGCGTGGCGAACCAGAAGCACTTGGGAACTTCAACCTGCCCAGGATAGAACTTAAGCGAATTGAACGCGGTTTCAATGCGCTTGTGCATGATGTAGTTGTTCCACAACTTATCATGCTGCTTCGTGAGAGGCAGCTTGTAGGCGAACGTGGTGCCGGGATGCTCGAACACCTTGCCGATGGAACCAGTGCCGATCTCCCGGAAGTTTGCAATGACACCGACCGCCGCTTGCTGACGCTTGGCAAAAGAAGAAGCCGTGGCGATCGTTGACTTGGTCTAAAGCATTCGCTTGAGACAGGCGTCGATTGATTCTCCTCGAGTCTCAGCCTCAAGCCTTTCTTCAAGGTGAAGGTTGGCTATCAAAGCCTGCTCCAAGGAGGCAGCTCTCGAAGAATCTGGAGTCTCGTCCGATAGATTCTGTTGACGACGATTCTCGAAGGCCTCAGGAAGGCGGGAAGAGCCTTGTCTCGAACGATCGTCCATCGCGGAAGAGCTGAGGTGATTTCGAGCTAATGGTGAATACAATACCAACTACTGTTGCGTAACTACTAATAAAGTGCTCTACTTCAGTACCTATGAAGAGTCAGCAACTGATGATGGAATTGAGAATTACTGACAACCACCCAAGGAGACAGTCCGCTCGTTAAGTACATGAATCAATCCAAGTACGCTGGTAGAGGTCTCAGATGATGCTTGCGCTTAATACGTTGTTGAAACGAGCAAACTGTGCAAAGAGATTTCAATTCTTGAAGACTTCTTCTTGCATTATTGATTCCTCATCTTGAGGTTTGATTAAGCCTGGAAATCCCAAATTGATAGCAAAATCATTAATAGCAACATCATGGCAATAATTCTGCAACGGAATCTTCCAAGTCGCGTCAATATAACAAGCACTCTACAGTCATCAACAAGAAAGCTCGGAAACGGCAAACCAGCATTTATTCAGAAACCGTAAACCAAGATCGAGCCCACCTCTCTTACATCCCTGCCGTTGCGTATTGATTCACACACGACTATGCTACTATGGCCTAGTCTATCCTACCAGAAACCTGTTCCCTTAGTGAACCTTCCCTTTGTCTCCTCGATACACTCCACCAGTTCCCGTGGCAGCTGACGTACATCTTCCTCTTCGCCTTCTAGAATCCTGTCGCTAGCCTTCAAGAAGTGAGCCCGAAAGATAGCCCAGAGCTCCTGGTCCTTTGCGTTGCTGCTCCCAGGCCGCGGATAGTAGGGATCGTTCCGCCAAAAGCTCCTGCAGGCTTGCTTGATTCCGTTGCTGTCCAATGTCATCATTCTGCAGCAATCAAAGTCCAGGATCCACATAGCATGGGAGCCGAAATCATTTGAGAGGAAGCCTGCCGGACCTAAGCTTGATGTCGATGGATCTGTGCTGGGTGACGATTGGGATGCCCTTGGGTTTGCAAGCACAAACTCAACATCATTCGCGTCAACCTTTGCGGACCAGTGCAAAAATGCGAGAGCCTCTGCCATGGCTACAGCATACCCCGCAAGATCCAGGTCGAGAGTCTCCATCTGGTCGATGTGAAGTGGGAAGTTTCTCAGACTGAAGAATCTAATTCTAGGCCTACCCTGATTCATGTCTACGCCCCAAGTAAGGTCGAACGAGACAGTGACTGTTTGTTGAGCTATCGGCAATCTCATCCGGATTCATGTTTGGATGAAACTTTTGGGCCAAGAGCTTGCGAACATCGCGGGATAGTGGTGGGATCTTCTCGCTGATCAGTGCATTGCAGCCCGTGTATCCGGTGGGAAATCTGGGGAGCATCTGATCCCAGACAGTCGCATTGTGATTGAGGAAGCATTCGCAGTGAGGTACGTTGAAGCGGAGTCTGCCGGTGTTGTTCATTTCCAGGCTTTGGGTGATGTGGCGATGCATTGTGTATTCGTTTGCGATTGACCGACCAGGGCCACCACCTTCACGCTTTATGGCGAGGGCTGATGTTGATGCAGACCACACAGAGCCACAGAAGCCCTTTCCGATGGCTTCTAGTGGCAGCGTCGAGTGGGTGGTGGTGAATTTGATCGTATTGGGTGTTTGTTCGCCCATGTTTCTACCAATAGAGGAAGTATTGGTGGTTTTGGTTGTAATATTTTGTAATTGTTATGTTGTGTGTTGTTTCTGTGTGGAATACTCTGAGAGATGGAAGTGGGAACAGAGTCTTTATGGTCCCTTGGACACGGCTTAAGCCTGACCGGGTGCCTACCTCCGATACCTACGGAAACCCGGAGTTATGGATAGACCACCTTTTGAGTTGTGTGACTCAAGCTTTGAAGCGGCACTGTTGGTTTGGAAGCTTCCTTGAGGAGTATGAAGTTGAGTCGTCAGGGCTAGCAAGGCATCAAAGTGAGGGAGTTGCCTACAACCTCTTTTGGCGAGCGCTGGGGACCGACCACAGTGTATGGCAGGATTGATGGACGAAACTCCCTCAAGCAAGGCTCAAGAGAAGAAGTCCTAAGTGGAACAAGGGCCAAGAGGCAAGGGAAGTCAATTTGCGGATACATCAGTGTGCGCTCTCTGATTTGGCTTCGATATCGCACCGATATCGCGCGCCCATCATATGCCGCACCGCTCCGTAATGGTATCATGGGGAATATCTAGAAGCATCGTACAGTATGAATACAAACAGCTTGCGTCCCGGAGAAAGCGACTCAAACCTGAATGGGAGCAGGGCTGAGGCCAACGAAATTGCTCTGTCGCGCCTTGTCCTGCCGCACCGCCCTGCGTTCGAATCTGTCCTGGCCGCCCTTCTTGCGCTTTGCCACCCTTCTCTGCTTCTTCTTATATGGTGTGTCAATCATCCACTTGTACCCCTTTTCCCGGTAGTACTCGTTGTCTTCCTCCAGCGCCTTCTTTTCCGCCTCGCGGATCTCTAGAAACGCCCTCGCCCTCGCAGACTGATCAGCCGCATCCTCACTCAGCCTTCTGCTTGCATCATTATACGTCGCGGCCACGCTGTTGGTGTAACTCTCATCAAATGCCCACGAATCAAGGTTTTTCATCCTGACGTCTGGCTTCTCAACCCAGTCGGGAAGGTCTGAAAGGGGCTGCTCAATTTTCTGGCGCAACCTGATCAGCCTCTCCACCACCCTCTTTTGGGACTTGATCTCGCTATGAAGGTGCCCATCCCACTGGTCCTCCTCCCTCGCAAACTGCTGTTCATCGCGCATCGAGGCGAGCAGATGATTCATGTTCTTGATCTTATACTTGTTCTTCTTCTGGACATAATCGCAAACGGAGCGGTGCTGCGGCTTGCCTTGGCGCATGAACACAACACCATGTGCAGTCACAGCGATATTGGGCACATGCCGTATGCCGGAGAGGTTCTCGCGAGGGACGGGGTGACGTTCAGAGATGTAGACGGGAGGTTCGTCAAGAGGAGATATGCGCTTGAGCAGGGGTGGCCATTTGGGCTTTGGACGCTCGAGCTTCGGCGACGGCGGCGGCGATTTGCCTGCTTCTGATCTCGCATCACGCAGGCTCTTCTCGCGGAGGTAGGTGAGGATTTCGGAGTATTCTTTTGACGATGGGGTCTGGGCGCTTTTGAAGAGGTTCAGAAACTTGAGGTAACGCACTGTCAGTATCAGGGGGCGCTGCGAGCAAAGTCCGGGACAATCATACCTTGTACCCCTTGGATAGCGCAGCAAGTACAAGGCGATAGCTCGCCTCGGTCTGGTTTCTCTTGAACCCTTTCTTCACGAACCGCGGCAGTGGGTTTTCGACACCCTGGCGCAGTACATCGTTGGGGAGTGGCACAGCGCGAGCCTCTCGGACGAGAGCACGATACAAGGCAATTGCGGCGATGCGATGGCGGGAATTTTGAGCTGGTACGAACTGGGACGGCATCCTTGCGAAAAGGGCGGCGTCGTTGCCCCGAGATTCGGTCACATTGTTGGCGTTGATGAAGCTTGAGCTTTGCGATCGTCACATCCTGGAGTGGAGGTGCATTGACAGATGGGAGTCTTATCTAATCGGCTGTTATCAGTTCTTATCGGAATCTAACCTAAACAAGGTAACCACTCTGTACACGAAGCGCCTTCCACTTGATCTTCTTTCCAACATCATCGCACGATCATGAAAGCCGCCGACGTACACAAAAACTTGTGCAGCAGAGACACCGGCCACATATATCTATTCGGCTGAGATCATCAATTTGCCAGTCTAGACGAGGCGGGTGGCTGGCCCCTCGCGAACCACCCGAAATGGCTGCAATGACACGATCTCGCTGGGGTTTGACAGAATTCAGATCGGACACGCGGGGGTTGCCACACATAGACTCGCAGTCATAATGATGAACCTACTACACGCTCTCCAGAACCCTGAAACCCCCTTGGGGCCCTTGGGGGTCACTCCCGGGGCTGCAGACAAAGAAGGGTTCTCACAAGGATACGGGGAACGGACCGAATGGACCGAGTCTGGCCCAGGGGATGCCTACCAACGAACCTCCTCCTCCTCTTCTGCAATCTCTGTGCAGCTTCAGGCTCATAAGAACGACCAGTTTTTGCACAGCGCAGTGCTTGTCTGTTCTCTGATATTACCTGGCGTCCAAATCGATATTCTTCCTAACATTGCTTACTTCCCTGTGGCCCCGAAACCGTTCAATTTGGAATCAGAGTTGAAGACAGAGCATCAACCATGCACAATTCTCTCAATGAACGAGCTGTTATGTGGAGTCTCTGCGATGAAGGAAGATGCCGAGACCATCTCACATCGACTATGGACTGAGCAGAGATGATGAGGCTGCTGCCAATGCAAGATGGCCCAATCAATCCCGAATGCTGCATCCGCCAATGCATGCACACCATTCGTCGGCTCTCTACACCCACGTTTTGTGGTTTTTCGCCAGTAATGCATGCTCCCATACATGACGATCTTGAGAAACTTCTTGCGCCAAGTTACATACAACCAAACAAAGCCACCCGAAGGTCCTTTCGTCAGTGGTTCTCCAAGAAAAGGAGACAACCTTGATGTTGGTAGTGGTGGTTGCTTTTTTGTCCTCTTCCTTCTTGACGCCTCCAGGGATGCAAAAACCTCCGGTCGGTATTATGGCGTGAGTTAATGGCGATCGTTGCCGCTCATGGACTGGGCATGCCCCCAGAGTGAGGCTGGCAGGCGGGATACACTACATATTCACAGAATCACAGGCGACCATGGTAGCAATGGATCTCGACCTGGTCTTTTGCCGTTGGTCCCCGGCCCAATCGAATGGCTTGTCAGCTGGGTACGGGGTTTAATCACTTGCAGTTTCACACGCTAGACCAGCGCGCCGGGTCCTCGAACTGACATAATTCTAGACGAGGACTCCAAGTTTGGCCACCATCCACATGCTACCGTACTCTCGTCACTATCCGGTCGAGGCCGCGATGTTTCCTTGCAGATGTGGTTTTGGACATCCTTCACCTGCATACATGCAGCACCTCCGCCCAGCTGCGAACCGCAGATCTCACCCTCTAGTTCCCTCCTACGGGGTCCGCGAAGAAAACAAGGCTCACCAGAGGGCCTCTCGATTCCTTCTAGCCCCAGTCCCGCGATCCAATCATGCAGCCTTTGGCCGTCTTATTCCCTGCTTCACGGAATTCTTCATTGTTCTCTCTCCGACAGGCCCTGGCATGTCAATGGCAATCCAACACACTTAACTTGCCTCACCCACAAGGCTGGCCTGGCCACAACTGATCATCCTGTCCCACGGTGTCACCCGTATCCTTGGATTGGGGAACGAGTCGGCGTTCTACCCTCAAGTAGGGAGACTTTACCCACACCATGACCATGGCAGGCTATGTACTGCAACGCCTCTTCACTTCTTGCTTTTTCGTCTCCTAGGTGGGTTTCGTCAGTGTTCACAAGAAATGGCGCCGAACTGTCTTTCTTAAATCAAGTACGATCCGCCTCAGACACACCCAGACTGCCAATGTGTCATGGACATACATGTCTGGGTTGTCTCGTCAAAGGTCGAACTGTATTGGAGAGGACTACCCTTCTAATCTTTACCGGTCGTACCTCTATCCAAGCACGATCCACTTGATGCTGTTCTATTAGCCGTAATTTAGTCAACTACGTTTTCGTAAACCCGGAGACCCATTTGAACGGCTCCTAGTGGCTCCTTTACACATATACTTTTTTCGATTCTCGTTCTGCTACCTTCTTTTGGGCCCGCCTCCGTCCGGGATTTACAAGTGTTGTTGTTAAGCTCTGCATGGCTGACAGCGCCTGACCACAGGACCCCGGAGCCCGGCGCGATGGTGAGGCTATCTGACCCTAACAGCAGTCTAAGCTTAGTCGGCGTGCCACACTCACAAACTCGTGTATGCCGAGATTAGAGGCGTTAGTCGGCATCTTTAGAGTTTACAGCTCCACCTCACCACCGGCGCACCCACTTCCTACTCGGCGGATATGAGTAATCATTCCCGTCCCAGCGACCTCGATACGCCGTCCGATACGGCAGACGACCTCGACGAACCTCCTCCCTTCCGACAGACCCATCGCGCAAGCGGGTCTCGCGAGCATGGTAGACACGGCTTTTCAACTTTCTCTCGACCCCTTCCCCAACGCTCTTTGATAAGTCGCCGGATACAACTTGATAGTCAGCAAGAGAAAGACTGCTCCGCTGGTATCAGTGCCTACAACTATCCGGGCCCGTTAACAGCAGTATCCCTTGAAGAACGTGGAAGTTCAGCCGGCGCCGAATCGACGGTCTTTTACTCAGCATCCCACCCGCCTCTCTTCTCCCACCCTTCATATACACATGCCCGTCCGCATCTGACGCAAACTAATCAACAACTGAATGCGGAGGAACATTATCGTAATTTACAAGACCAGGAGAACTTTACAGTCTTTTACGAATCCCAACAACACTATCGCATACCCCATAATCACCGGCCCCAGCAAGACTTCCAACATCAACACCAAATATTTCCACACCATTTGCCCGCGGACTCTTTACAGTCAGCCTCTCTCGCCTCTTCCTCTCCCGACACGTCGTCTTTACTTTGCCATCCACACGACCCCCGGCTTCTCCAGGCCCAGCTCCAAGCACCCACCGAAAGTGGCTTTGTAGGATTTGCTTACGCAGACTCCGAATTGCCCCCAAATCCTGGCGAACTAGCCCCGATTCGGTTTTCGGGCCTAGAATCCGCACATTTCGCCCCAGAGCATCCAGTGGGTTTCTCTTTGTCCGGACCTGCAGGACCCGCCCATCCATTCTATCAGAACGACAGCGACGACTTCTTACAACATCGCCATACTGGGGTCCTTCAATACCCCGGCGGCTTTCCGGCATCATTCATGCAGAACCCTGGGCTGTCCATTCTCAACGCCGAATCTTTCGACGATGGTATGTCGGGCTTTCGCGCACCAAGAAGTCTGCCTCCTGGGAAATCTGGCCCCGACACCAGTGATGAACCGAAACGATCCTCCAAGAAACGGTCAAAAGCTCAGTCCGCGGAGGTAGCAGAACTCGACGACGAGGAAAAGAAACGGTCGCGGGGAAGACCACGGCTAGACACTAATGATGAGACTGCAAAGGATGTAAGTTGGCGACTGGCTATTGACTTTGATCCCCCTTTTATAGCTTGACTTAGAAACCCCGTCACCTCGATCCTCCCACTCGCCTGAATCCCTTACCTCCGTCAAGCAGTTCTAACTATAACAGCGTCGTCGAACTCAAATTCGGCTCGCCCAAAGAGCCTACCGCAACCGCAAGGAAACTGCGATTCAATCGCTCGAGAAGAAGGTCGACGAGTTGAGACGTACCAATGAAGAAATGAGCAAGGAGTTTATGAAGCTCTACGACTTCGCCGTTGGTAAAGGCATGCATGAGAGCACGCCCGAATTTGGACGACAACTCCAAGCCACCACAGAAAAGTTTGTCTCTTTGGCACGGAAGACAAGCGAGGAGCCGGAAAGGGAAGGCGATGTGCTTCCAAGCCAGGAAAATGACGAAGTCGAGGAAGTTGGCGGTCCTGCCAGTGGACAAGAAAGGAGAAAGGAGAAATCGCCATCTGCCGAGATCGCTAAGCCGATTGAACAAGTCATATACGATGTACTTTCAAGCGAACAGCCGCAGCACCAGCACCAGCTACAGTCGACGCCTCGGACGCATGCAACGACTGCGGTGTACACAACGTCTTGGGCGCCCGATAGTCAGTCACATATGCCGCACTCGACACTATCTCAGGCGCCCATGGGCTACGAGATTGTGACGGAGCCGACGCCGGACAATGCTAGTTTTCCATTCGGTATGTCCTATGAACATAGTCTGGACCAACCAGGCACTTTCGATCTACTCGCCAACCAGCCTTTCTCTGAATCCCTATTCAATATTCTCTCCTCGCCGACCTCTTATGCCCACCAGGAGCGGACGTTTGGGCGACGTCTGCAACGGTCGACGCTGGAGAAGGCTTACACATTGCTCCGCATGCCTAACCCGCCGAGCAGCCTCATCAACAGTGCTTTCGGTTTCAGTTTACTTTTCGAGCCCAAAGAGAGGATCGTTGAGCGGATAGCTAACCGTCTCAGTGTCAACCAACGGGAAACAATGTTTAACTGGAAATTTCCATTTTTACACCTAGGGGGCGGTGGCACGTGGTTCGACGAGATGAATGATTTGGACGAGATGGCGTACCCGAGCGGCCACAAACAGAGGAACCCTGTGGGCAATCAGGGAACGGCCGAGCCGTATCGGCAAAAGGTCGACTCACTCTACGGGTTGGGACCATGGGATGCGCCGACGGAAGAGATGCGGGACCTGAGAGTGGAGCGAACCGCCGCGAGACTCCGCATGAACGTTCCGGGCCTCCAAGGCGACTTTTACGACGCGGACGAGGTCGAATGGGTTCTGCAGAGACGCGGAGTCGATATCCCCGCCGCCGCGGATTTTGTCACAGCTGAGATCGATCCGGCAGACTTTTCGGATGAGACGGCAATTGCCGGACGCGCTTTAAGCAGCGGATTGGATGGCAGCAGCAGCAGCAGCACCACCAACAATGCCTCTGATATCCTGAGCATTTATGGGACGAGCCGTGGCGAGGCTGCTGCGAGGCAATGGCTAGGGCAGACCTTGAAGCCGACGAGGCCGGCTGATGTTCATTTGGGCGATCCGCGATCTGTTGCGCAGGCTGGCGACGCGGCGTCTAGTCAGATGCCTTTGGATCCGAGTCTTGCGGGTGATATGTTTGGGCTTGAAAGTACTTCTACCAAGCAGAATACGAACCCCCCAGGTTCAAAACGGAGAGCGGTGACGATCAATGTAGGGGTGCTTGTGCAAGGTATGTATATGTCTTCGAGCAGAGACAGTTTCGCAATTTACGATATACGATACTAACGAAGGCACTAGAGATCGGATTGAAGTCGGTTTGCCTGGGGCGATCACCTGGGATCCGGCCGAGAGATTTGAATGTTGCGTTTTGGGCATCATTGACTACGTGAAACTGGGGACTCGATACTACTTGACATTGGAAGGGCCATCATCGGGTATTATTAGACCGTGCCGGTACCAGAACGGCCGAGGCCCAACGCCTCGAATGGCCCATCGTTGAGGTTTTACTTTTGTCACTCTCCTGTCATGTCCTAGAAGGTATCTCTAGGGAGGGCAAACACACATTTTTGATTTAGCGGTTGGCGCTTTGTTCAAATGGGGTCTAAAATTTGAACGTTTATTGTAGTCATAACTATCACGGAGGCTGTATCTAAGGCTTCGAGCCCACGGATTTGAATTGAAGTTGAAAATAATGCCCCTAATTGTTTTCTTGGCGGCTTAAAATTGTTGCTTCCCCAGACTGTCTCCTCGTACGGAAGAGAAGGAAATATGTACATGTGAAAGAACAGAAGTTTTTCATGTAGAGCATGTAAAGACCATCGAGCCTCATTTGGAAAAAGTTGCTTTGATCACCTGGATCCTGTTGTTGTTCGTAAAAGAGATGACCAGCGTCTTGCCCGTCTTGTCCAGATACGGATGTGCCACGCCGGCGTAGACCAGACCGCCATCGATGGCCGTTGCCTGGAAGATTTTGACGTCCGGCGTCCAGGGGCCCTCTGGGCGCGCAGCAGTGCGCAAGAAGACGGAGCCGCCGCCGATGCCTATATCAAACCATAGTTAGTCAACTACGAAGGCAAAGAGCAACTTATCAAATGTGGCGGGGCTACAACATACCAAGGTGAACAAAGATATAACACTTGAAAAACTCATTCCACACAATCTGGCCCTGCCCTGTACCCCACACAGTCGCCGTCTCGGAGCTGAACGTGGTGTGGACCTCCGATTTCCACCCCTGCTGACGGCCCCAGAAGTACTCGTACTTACTCACGTCAAACGTCTCGTTGTGCTTGACGCGCGCGAGGTAGACATAGCTGCTCTGGCCCCAGTCGGTGATGGTGGTCGGTGGGCCGCCCCAGGCGTAAACGTACTCGGAGCACGGGTCGCGGAAGGCGGCGATGTCGCCGTACCGGGGCGTGGTTTTGGCGTCCCACCAGTAGCCGCGGTCGCCGAAGCGTTTGGTAACGGTGGGGGTTCCGAAGAGGACGTCTACTTTGGCGACACCTGCGCCGACGAGGCCGTCTGCGTTTTGGTTCTGTGGGTTTGTGTTAGCCTTGCTCGTAGTACACGTTCGAAAGTTTTATACGAAGTAGGCAGGATATTGGAGGGGCGAGAACTTACAACCAGGTAAAATACGGCACCAGTTTTAGTAGCAGCATTAGTCTCAACCAAACTCGTCCCGCCGAACCCAGTATCAACCTTTTCTCCCCACGAGGAGTTGAAGGGAATAAACTGCTTCTGGCGTTGATTCTCCCCCAAATTGAGGTCATGCACGACCAGCGGGTTCCCCGTCACCGCAGACACAGCATCGCGCACCATACCGTGGAACCCGGGCGTGTCCTTTTCGGGATCCGTGACGTTGGCATCGCACCAGAGCACGTCGCCCCAGACGGCGTACCATTTCCCCGCGATGGCGCCGGTGAAGCCCAGGTCGCGATGGGAGCAGCTGTTGCCGGCGTGTTGGAAGCCTAGGTAGTCTACTTTTGGGTTCACGATGGGGTTCGTGCCGACGGGGGTTGTGCTGTCCATTCTTGCGGTGAGGAGGGGGTTTGCGAGAGCAAGGGTGTTGGTGCCGATGGCTAGGAGGGCCGTGGCGAGGGGGAGGAGGTGGGGGGTTGGGGGATGCATTTTGAGGGAAGTGGGCGTGAGTGTCGATCTTTGGGGTTGCAGTTGACCTCGGCGCGGGAGGAGGTGGATGGATGGGGGGATGGGCGATGCTTGTGATTGTTGGTTTGATGGTGCTCGGTGTGGCTCGGTGAGGGGGTTGAGAAGGGAGGGTGAGTGCCGGAATCGATCTGGCTAGTTGGAAAGGGCTGCGGGATACAATTGGGATTTAAAGAATGATTTTTATGAAAATGGTGCGAAAGAATGAAGGGATGGCGATGCTAGATCGCCTGGAGGTTGAGGTGAAGATGCGATGATAACGGACGGCAAAGGGTAGTAATAAATACGGACGGGGAAGGTAGGTCCGGTGTCGCGATGGTAGTTTGGCAGGCCACCGCCGAATCAGAGTGTCTAGCCATATCGACAAGCGCTTAAACCCCTGGTTCGACGATGGGATGAACGATGGATGGATGGATGGGTGGACGGAAAATGAACCCATCATGGTGTTGCAGGCCGGAGGGAACCACGGGCGGTCGGACTGCAGATGCTCAACGCCGGAGGTGCGCCACGGCGCCGTGCGGTGGGGCCGGAACTGGCCGGTAGATTGTAGAGGGGAGTCAAAAGGAAGCACGGGATGGTTTACATTGGCAGTGGATCAGTGGCCGAAACATTCTGGATGACGGGGCGGCCGGGTGTGGCGTTGTAATATGATTTTGCTGCCTTAGAGGGAACCGTGGCTTTCGTGCGATGGAGGGATGGGAATGGAGCTCGAGTGATAGCTGTAGTCCTAGATGTCAAGGCATAATGAGAGACTGACTGGTTGACGACGAGCTGACGGGGGTAAATGATTGCAATGAAATCAAAGTGTTTGCCTCTCATTTTAGGGCTACCATTCTCACATATGGTAGCCTTCAAGAGTTCATGCTCACTGAGAAGGCGAGTGAGTGAGGGGGCAGATTCACGCCGTAGATTCCAGCGATCATGGTGCAGTCGCATTTCACATGGCGCTCCCCTAGCGCTCTTGAAGAAGGAAATAAGCAGTGACTGGTTCAAGATGTCTAATGCAAAGTGAAGTGATTGAAATCTGCAGTCTTTCTTATGTAGACATTGTGAGCCTCCATCCTCTAATGGACAAAATAAGAGATGGGTGACGATGAAACATTACAAGTAGATTCAAGTCTTTTCGATCTCATCCACAGCAACATCAGAGCTTTTACTCAGATCCTATTAGAGTTGATGGAGAGAGCCCACGTGGATCAACTCATTGACATTCTCATGTGCAGGGAAGCTTCAGGGAAGATGAGATGAGCTCCCAGGCACATGCCCGCCCTCAAGCTCGCCATTGGCTAACCCCTCCTTAGGCCTGCCAAGTTGGGAAGCTGTTTGTTTCCTCCAGCTCCAGGCAATGTGCGGGGCAGCACGGGCAACGACTTCCGGTGGTGGGTACCCTCTCATTCCTGGTGCGTCCGTTTCTTCTCTGTCCTCTCCATCTGCGATTCAACCTTGTTAGTCTCGGCCTTCTTCCTGTCACTACGTGACTGCGATATAACCTTTTCAGAGTTGTTCATTCACTTGGGTCCACGTGCCCTGACTTGACCCGGTTGGCTGGCACCACCGGATGAACCCTCCGCTTCATTACCGACTCGTCCATCGCTCGGGAGACTTGAACGGAGCTCTCGGTTGTACTTGGCGATCTTGGATGGTACCCTTCAATGTATATAAGCATGCGCTCTCCTAGTAACCCATTCAGATCTTTGCTTTGCATCCTGTGCGCCGTTGGTGTTGTTTTCGTCATCTTATCCCTCTTCGTTATGTCGCCGATGTCCAGCCTGGCCCTCAAGGCCGCTCTCCGTACGTTGCACCCTGATATGTGCTATGCTCACCGAAAGATTCTAATCGTGACCAGTGCTCCCTCTCGTGAGCGCCGCCTCATGCAGTAATGGGACCTACACCCACAACGGCCTCAGCTGGTCCCACGGCATCCGGATGAACCAGGTCCAGGTCGTTGGCACGCACAACTCGTACCATCGCGAGGCGCCGCTTGAAGAGCACCCAACCCAGGCCACGATGCTCCCTAATGTTCAGAACTACTACTACTCCCATCCTTCCCTCGACATCCAGCTCAACTACCAGTCCATTCGTAACCTGGAGCTCGACATCTTTGCCGACCCTGAGGGCGGCCACTACGCCACGCCCCTCATCCGCAAGCTCGCGAACCTCTCCACGACCCCGGATCCCGATCTCCTTGCTCCCGGCATCAAAGTCCTGCATGTCGCCGACGCAGACTACCATCCTACCTGCAAGACATTCATCGGGTGCTTAAACATTGTCAAGAAGTGGAGCCAGGCCCACCCGGACCACGTCCCAATCCCCTTCATGATCGAGTTCAAGACCTCCGAAGCTGCCTACGCAGCAATTGGCGGCGCGTCTCAGATCCCCTGGAACGATACGGCACTTCTCAAGGGCCTTGACGATGAGATCCGCAGCGTCTTTGCGCCCGAGGACCTTGTTACTCCAGACGACATCCGCAGAGGCAACTTGACGTTGGAGCAGTCCGTCTTGCGATATGGATGGCCCGACTTGGAGAGTGCCCGTGGCCGCGTGCTCTTCCTGATGGACAACGGCCCCGTGAACCCCATCCGTGACTCGTACATCGAGGGCCGACCTAACCTTGAAGGCTGCGTTCTCTTCACCAATTCTGCGCCGGGAAACTCTGACTGCGCGTTCCAAAAGGTTGGTATTCATCAACCCTTCTGAAACGGGGGCGTCCTCGATATGTAAGAACTGAATCTCACTGACAACTTGTAATTAGCTCAATGACCCCACCGGCACCGAAAAAGCCAACATCCAGGCGCAGGTCAAGGCGGGCTATTGGGTCCGCACACGCGCCGACATCCCGCTCGATACGCTGCTATCCAACGACACAACCGGGATGCGTGAGGATGCGTTCTCGAGCGGCGCGCAGATCGTGTCGACCGACTTCCAGGCCTACGGTATGAGCAGCCGCTGGAATGTCGACTACGCCGTTCGTTTTGAGGGCGGTGCGGCGGTGCGATGCAACCCCATCAACGGGCCCGCTGACTGCGGGAGCAAGGCGTTGGAGCCAGTTGAATATGTCCGCAACTAGAAGACCATTGCTTCGATGTGTGTGAGATGAGGTCTTGTCGAGCAGTGTAATGATAATAGCATGATGAACAAAGTTGATGGACTGATGTGCATTAATGCAATTGATTGACTGTGTACTTCAGGGATTCACCGGTTGTTGAAGAAGGCTTCCCCCGGCTCTTGAGTTCTTCTCTCACACAACGGTGCCGATTGCCGTGGGGAAAAAAAAAACCTTTGAATATGCCAGTCCCAAACGAGATTGAATTGTCCAATAACACCGGCTTTTGATGTCCATTCCTCGACCAAAGTACCAAAGATCGTGGCGAAGCGCGCGGTAAGGGCTGACATGAGCGGCCGCCCCCAGCCCCTTTGTGGGGGATGATTTCAGTGCTAGGTGCCAACGGGCAAGCTTCATGGGCTGAGCCACAGGCATTCAACCAAAATGCCTTCACAACCCGCAACAACAACTCATCCAGCCCAGGAAATGGACAAAGTTGCAAGGGACCTGCCATTCAATCGACCATTGACTCAGCCGGCAGGAGTCCTCAATCCCCTGAGGGATACGGCGAATGACGCAGGACCGGCCGCCCTTTCGTCTGACCGTTCCAACTGCCCGAGGTGATGAACCTCCAACACGGCGGCGCACTTTCTAGCGGCGTGAGTCAACGCCTCCCCAATTGGCCTCGTCTTCCGCTTCTTCCTTCTCGATGCCTCCGATGCCTCCAATGCCTCGATGTTTCTATATAAAGCGAGGGAACTACTCTCAGCATGTTACTAGCCATTTGATTCTTCATGCTCAAGTTGCACCTCGTCTCCCATTCTTGGCGTCTTCACAAACAAGACACCATAGAACGGGACAGTCTTCGGACAACAAACAGCACCGCCCAGCATGGCTGCCAACGAGCATTATGATCTATTGATCTTAACGGACGCCACGGCGTCCATGACCAGCTACCTACACGCTCTCAACAAATCTCTACCCGACATCATTCGGCTATCAGCTCTGACGGACTGCTTCGATCGGATTGGAGTCATGGCCTACCGCGACTACTCTGCCTCCATGTTGACAGAATGGTCAGGATGGTACTCGGCGAACTCAACGGCCGACAACACAATCACACAGGGCCAGCTACTCCAAAGGGCCAGCCATATCAAGGCGGACTCTGGTCCTTACAACCTTGATTGGCCCGAGGCTGCAAAGACCGGACTCGCTCGAGCCTACAGCATCATGCGTCCCGAGGCCACCACCATCATCATCCTCTACGCTGACGCTCCTCCCCATATCCCTGGAACGGCATCCAAGCACAGGATTACCGAGATTGAGAATCTATCTAAGCCTGATGCCTACTACGGCTGTGGGAAGTACTTCACCGATTGGGTCGCCGGCGCCAAGATCCTTCGCGACGGCGAGAAAAAGGCCAAGGTCTTTTCCGTCATCCAGGGCGACATCAGCGACACCGTAGCCCCCTTCACTTTTCTCTCGCACATCACGGGGGGAGTGAGCTTCAAGCTCGATAACCGGCACTCCGAGGTCCCCACATCGGTCGCTATCTCAGAGTTGACCACCGGCATCCTGATGGCCTGGATGGGTGTGGGGAAGGAAGGCGGTGCAACATCCGGCCAGCGTACCTACGCCAAAGCTTGTCAGTATCGAACGGCCCTCAACATTGAGGATATCAAAAGCGAAGAGGACGAGGCTGTTGAGTTGTACTTTTCCATCACTAGACGCATGGATAAAATTGTCGAGCACAACATCGATTCGACATTCACTAAGCTTGATGAACTGCGGACGGTCGTCGAAACTCGGAAAACGCCTGTCTTGGACTTCTCAAAGAGATACAAAGCCGACGAGTCCTACCGCAACTTCGTGGTTGACCAACTCGAATCTTTGATCACGGCTGATGTTGCCACCATTGCCATCAACCCTGTGTTCGGCAGCCTATGGCGAGCCGTCTGCAACGATCGCGAAAACCCGGCTCGCGGCGGACTTATCCAGGCGTTCGGGTCCTCTGTCGACCATATCCCCGAGCCTGAAAAGAAAGCTCGGATGAAGGGCTGGCTCGAAGAGTCCTACGACTATGCAGCTGAAATTCTGGAAGCTATCGGCAAGGTGCCTGAGCACCAGAGATACCCCTGCGTGTTTTTCGATCCCACTGAGCAGTTCCAAAACTCCACAGACGACAACGACGAAGACGCAAACGCGGATAAGCGTGCCATCACAGAATTTACACGAGAGGAACTCTTAGAGATTGGTCGCTCCTGCGACAACCGTATTCTCCGGAGGCTCGGTAGAGTCCTTACACGGCTGACTTACGTGGCCCGTGAAGAGGACCTGCCAGCTCATATTAGAGCCGATTCCAGTGTCGCTCAAATTCCTATGGCTCTCTCGTCTGCTGAGCATCAGCGAAAGTTTTGGAAGGTTCTCTTACATCTCATACTTCCTGGGACCATGCTGGCCGCTCGTCCAGCCGCCCTGCTCGCAGCCCTTGCCCTGCGCTTGGGCATACGGCCCCTCACAAGCACCGCAGACATGGAACTCCTCACTTTCACCACGAAGTGGAACAACTTGGACATCCCCGAGACCTGGAATGCCAGCTGCCTCTCGCTGCTTCTAGATGCTAACAATGACTTTGAGAGACGGGTCGCTGAAGGCGTAACACAGCGTCCATCTAAAGAATCCTGCATTCTCCTTCATGGTGACCGACGTCTCTTTGAGACTCTGGTTGACTACAAGCTCCTCGAGTTGAACCTGAACACAACCCTTCAGGCCAAAGTTGGATGGCACCCTGACAAGTCTAAGGTGTCTCTTGGGCCCCTTGTCATTTGCAAGAAATGCGAATTCCCCCGTTCGGTCACAATCATGGGGCCGGACAGCATCTGTGGCCTCTGCCCTAAGAGCGACAAGTGTAACTGTAAGACCTGTCAGACTGCCCCGGATCACGACGTCCGTCTCCGCAACAACGTGACTCACAACGATACCGAGGAGACGGAAGCAACATGGGTAGAATGTTTTACGCCAACATGCCGTGCTCAGTACGTTGTGTATAACCCTCAGGCTTTGAACGTGAGGGCCAAATGCTTCTACTGCCGACACCATGGATCCGACGCTGCAAAGGAAAAGATCCCTCGCGAAGCTCCTTGCGTCGAATGTTCGCAGTGTCGAAACCGGGTCATCTGGCCAAAGACATACCGTCCTTCCGACCTTGATCTTTCAGGCTTCAAGTGCCCCGCTTGTACAGCCAATAGAGTTACCGTCATCGATTACGAAACTTCGGCCAAGACGTTGAGCGGCGAGAACGGCGTCTCGTGGCTCCTGCGCAACGACAACTCAGCAATCAAGGATCCCTTCAACGGCCGATCTCTGTTCTACACCATTTCTCAGGTAGAAGAATCGAACCGGGAGTCGCTAGCAAAGAACGTTGAGATTATTCCAACGTTTCAGAAGCAAGCACAGCTCACGATCCGCGGCAAGGCTGTCCACAACCAGGATGATATTTGCGAATCCCTTCGCAAGTGGGTAAAATCTCGGCGTACTGAGGCTGGAGTTTGCAGTTTGTGCTTCTCCAACATCCGGAAAACTGATCTTCGGAACGCATGTGGTCGCTCTGGTTGCCACCAGCAGATCTGCAACGGCTGTATGAAGGATTGGTACGGACTCAATGTCCGTGGAAGGCTACTCAACCTCGCAGCTCTCTACTGCCCCTTCTGCCGCCGACAGCCAACTGTCAAGACCGTCTCTGGCTTTGGAATATCCCACATCGGCGACCTGCAGACCGCGGCCACAGACAAGGAGTGGATTTACGGATGGTGCAGAGACTGCGGCTTTGCTCGGAAGTACGCCGAGCGGGTCTGCGCTGTCGGCGCACCCGAAGTCGCGGACTGGTCATGCGATGAGTGCAAGGAGAGCGCCCAAAGGTTGAAGGTTCGCAACTGCCCCGGCTGCGGTACAGCTACTGAGAAGCTGGGCGGATGTGACCACATTACTTGCACCGTCCCGGGGTGCCATGCGCATTGGTGCTTCGCCTGTGGTGAGAACGTTGGCGAAGCGGATATCTACGATCATATGAGCGATGCTCATGGAGGTATGTGGGGAGGTCATGATGACTATGACTGTGATGGCTGTGATGGCTGTGACGAGTGTGAGGCCAACGACATTTGGGACTAGGTCACATATAATTTTACCGTCGCCTAGGACGATTTGGGCAAGACTCGTCCTGCTGCTATCGGTATAGACCTCGCAGGCTCTCGTTCAGCTTACGCCTGTCGAGGTTTGGGTCTCTTGTTGCTCGTTTGTTTTGGTTCGGAGTATGGTGTACAAACAATAGCAGGGGGTTTAAGATGGGCAGAGCTTGGGGAGTGTGTTTCTAGTTCTGCCTCTGTTACTAGTGGAGTAGGGTCTCGAGTTCATAGTTAGCAACGAATGTTTCGTTACACAGCCTTGAAGACTTTGAGTGCGTGTAAATCCTCAGTGATTCCTCCGAGCTGCACAAATCAAGCTTGATGTAGGTCATTGACATCATTGTGAAATATTGACCGTCTTACTGAAATAATGGTTTTGGTTAGTCCATGGAATAATAGAGATTGTGTGACGTCGGTTCGGTGCATCATTCGCACGAGTTGAGGTTGTTTGGGAGATACCCCGCAGTCCGATGGATTTCATCCGCAATGTTGAGGCGACCCCATGTGTCTTGGGGCTGGTGCATAATTCACAGGTAGAAGCCATTCGACCTTTGTCAACACGAATAGCTGCGGACTTTCACTTGACGCTGTTAAAATAAAATTGTCCACTCTCTTAAAGACTCACAGGTCGCCAATACCAGAACATGCCTCCCCTTCCCGGGTTCTCAGACAACCCCTTCCGTACCCGCACCGACCTCGTCCGCGCGGCGACGGCTCTGATACGGCCCCTGGAGCAGTACAAATCTCCCCGCGAGGCACGTATCAAGCTTGCGACCAATACGGCCGCGGGCTTCGATGAAGTTGCGGCACAGTTGGAAGGGTTCGCCAGGCCGTTGTGGGTCGTCGCGGATCTCTTGAACGACCTTGAAAGCGGCGGCAAGGGTGATTTCTTCGCGGACTTGAATCTGGAGTCTTGGGCCCGGGGGATCGTGCCGGGAACGGATCCGAACTCTGAAGAGTATTGGGGCGATGTGGGTGATATCGATCAGCGGATGGTGGAGATGGAATCTATTGCGTTTGCGATGCTCGTTGCGCCTAGGCCCTTTCTTTCGGCTTGTGATGATGAGGAGA